CCAAGAGGACAGAGACCTAGAGCTAGTGTTTAAAACATTCTTGAATGAACTACTACTTGTTCTGAAGAGAATGTACAGCTTGTACAGCCTTGTTGTCTGAGAGGGTAAGTATATGTACTAACATTTCCTCATTAACCTCTCTCTTTTAACAAGGATAGACTTATGTTCTCAACTGTGAACTCAGCTGAGACTATTCCTACTTAATACTATAGACAAACTACTAAGTAGTGAACAGGGCTAGGTAGTGTTCCAAATGTTCTAAGATCTTAGAACACAGAAGTGGTAGGTTGGATTGTACAGATTTAGACTTGGATAAAGTGCAAAGAGAAGAATCAAAAGAATCAGGAGAAATAGGAGAACTATCTACTTTTGTTTTTGACTTTTTTCTTTCTAATAAATAATTTTGTTGATTTATTTTTTCTACTTTTTCTGCTTTTTCTACTTTATTTACTTCTAATCCTATAGTGTCTATTGAATCAAAAGTAGCCATTAAAAAATCTGAGTCATAACTCTTTAGTACTGTATTTACTGTTAGGCCTCTACAAAATCCTAGAGTACATAGTCAGAGTCTAAGAGTTCTGAGGTGACTTCTAGATTTGTAGAAAAGGCTTCTTACTACAAATCCTACTTGTTACTCATTATTACTCTAATAACCTAACAGATGTACTGTTACTTCTGTAGGCAGTCCTTAATTTAGTGCTCTAACTTTCTACAGGCAAAGTATACTCCTCACTTTTAAGCTTCTCTAATGTTTATCAGAACAGATTGATTACAAATTACAGGCAGATTGATCTGAGGGCTTGGAACTGTTAGAGCTAGACACATGTACAGACATTCTGTACAGACTTAATACATTTGAGTTACAGCTTGGTTGAAGGAAATAGTGTATGTCTTCTACTCAGTGTAAGTGACCAGTTTTAACATTATTCTAAGAATCTTATTAACTAGTTCTGGGTGAAGAGCTTTTTCAAGCATTCTGATAAGGACATTATTGAACCTAAGTATGAATCCTACCTTCTAGGCTAGAATATTGAACTCCTGAAAGAAGGTATTAGTAGAATGTTTGCTCTGTTACAGAGACACAAGCTTGTTCTGTACATTGTACTTCTTATTCAGATTAATGAAGGAAGTATAGAGCTGCCTTATGAATTCCAAATATGACTCATTATTCTAAAGTCAGATTAGACTTCCAATCTAATAGCCTTCAATCCAGTTCTAAGCCTAGGTGGCCACATTACCTTCCTTTATGAAGGAGAGGACAAATAGGACACAATTAAGATCTGAGGATAAATCAGTTAAAGTAGTAGCCACATATAGTTCAACTTGGTACTAGAAGTCTTTAAAGTGCTACCTATTAAAGTCTGAAGGGTAGGCTACATACACTTTCTTTCTAGAACAGGTTATAACTTTCAGAACAATTAGAACAGGTTCTGAAGGGGCTAGAGGTATGTAGTTGACAAAAGCCTCTTAGATAGAGGTTTACATGTATTAAGCTAGTTCTACTTGTAACTACTGATCTGGCAGGACAGTAGGGGTGGTAGTTAGTGTAGGAGGGTTCATGTTTATACTATAAAGGAATCAGCACTAAACTAAAAGGGGTAATGAATAGAAGAAGGGTGGCAAAAGTTTAAAAGGGTTTAGAAAGTTTAAAATTTAAAAATGTAAAAGGGTTGGGACAAAGAAAAGAGATTGACACAATAGTAAGTACTAATGCTCAAAATGTAGGAGAGTTGTAGGGTGGTAATAGGTAGTCTTGATCTGATGTTAGTAATAGTGTAGAGGGGACCTAAAGGCTCAGTAAGGGGACCCAGGCTACAACTATTCTATATAACAGAAATACAGAACACAAGCACTAGAACATAGTTGGAACTTGTAGAACAGGCAGAGAGAGAGAGTGAGACAAGAGTAGAGTATATAGAGTAAGCCTAAGAGTACAGGACTACTTAGAGTAGACAAGATCAAGACTACAGAACCAGTCTGATCTTGTACACCTATATATACTAAACTACACAAAAGTACTCAGGGAGTATGAGCCACTTAAGAATGATAAGCTATGAAGAATGAAAGAAAGGAATGTCAAAGATAAAGGTACAAAGAATAAAGGGATGGACAAAGGGTAAGAGACTATAGAATAAACAAAGAATGAAGGGGTGGTCAAAGGAATGGAATGATGAAGTAAGGAAGGGTAGTAGCAAGAGTCAGCACACATATAGTTCATAGACAGCACCCCTGAGGGACAGAAGTCCTGAGTTCCAGTACAGAAGGGTGTAGAACCCTCAGAACTGAAGGTACAAGAGTAGAGAACTGTAACACTGATGGTAAAATGCTAAAACACAAATTTGAAGAATGTCTACAAATAATCATACATGAGTAAACAACCATTACATAGTTCAGATAAGTTCTATACAGTCTATAAGCAGAATAGTAATCAAGCCTACCAACTAGGTTATAAGAATATGACATTGAGTAACACTAGAGTACTTACTACATAAATCAGTAATCCACAAAGTTGCCTTGCCTAAGTATTATTACAGTAATTCAATAGAATGTATGATTAGAAGATACAACCCACAACTGTAAATGATACATTCGGATTTTGAGGTTAGCATTTGCTCTTGATAGCATGATATACTGCCCACCTCAGAAGGGTCACATTGTAGTTGTTGACTATAGCAAATACACTTGTCAATTACTTTGCACTATTTAATGGGATCATGAGGCATCTGCTTACTAAGTATGGCACAGATCTGTCCTAGGAGTCCATTGTAGTGATTCTAAACACTAAAATTTAATATGAATAATCTCATATAGTTTTTACAAGGGCACATACTGCAAAATAAATCAGACTTGTAGGGCACCACGGATTGCGCTTTGTTTTGTCATAAGCCACGGATTTATGAAAACGAATATTAAACTCACCCAGAAGTATCGAATCTGCAATTATATGGTCAGCAAGTGCTTGATACGATTGTGTGCAATCGCCATACCTCCTTGTCCATATTTGTGACTTGAGTTTATATTCGTCAGTAAACTTTCGGTTTAGTGAGTTGTAGGACACACAAGCATTATAGACTAATACAGTCAACATGGCTACGGCAAAGTACTTTTGGGTGACATCTTCAGAGGCAAATAAGGGCACCAGACTAGGATCAACATATTCAGGATCGGAGCGAACGTGAAAAGTGTGGGCATATCCGTAGTCAAGTGTAGCGTTTGCCATTGAAAGTGAGTGTACATGACCGAATACATCTAAGGCTTTCTTATAAGGGATGAACTTACATGATGATACGGACTGCGTTTATGTTTCGTCGGGGGTTGCAGAATGGCAGGACTCGAGTTGAGTCAGACTGAAGCAACATCCAATGTCTGAACTGAGCTGAGTTACACACCAGGCCTTTGTATCGGCGAGACAGCGACAGAGAGGCGCAAATCTGATCAGTGCAGTTGTAGAGAGTGAGCTGCGGTGTGTACGATGCGCCAATAAAGCCTGTGTCTCAAATCTACAACCGTTGTACAACGCGCGTGTTTTACAGACAATACAATAATACGACTGCTCTATACTATGAGGCTATGACGGTATCGCCCCCAACGGGTCGTTACTCGCTTTCCTGACCTGCCGGGCAGGTACTTGGTTCGTCGGATACGTCGAAGAATCAGAGTGTAAGGATACTGGAGAACGGGACGATCTAGGCGGTAGTCGAGGTAACACCGCAGTATCTACAGATGGTGTTGAGAAGTTCGATCTCGTGTAATTCCAAGGTGCTCGGTAGGGTTGGTCTGATTCTGGTGTCGGATTTGGGTTGGATGTGGAAGAACCGCTTCTTTGTCGAGGAAGAGTCGCAGCTTGCAGTGTACGATTTATGGGTGTTGGATCCCTTTGTTGTTGGATAATTGCTGGAGTACGCGGTAATGATGCTATAGGGACGGACGGGGAAGTCCTCGGTGACGGTGAAGACCTTTGTCTACGATGCTCCAAGGATAGACGTGCAGCTGCAGCAGGTTCAGGAGGACGTGGCGGAGGTGAAGCTGATTGCTTGATTTCATTAGCTTGTGGAGGTGGTGTTCGTTTTCGTCGCTTGTATTCTTCCTCTCCGTAAAGCCGTTCCTCGTCTATATCACTAGTCGTAGCTTTCAATAGGTCACGAACATGCGCAAGGCTCTCGATAGCTTCGCGTTTTCGATTTCTAATCCGTTTGAGCTCATCTGCGTCTCGGTCTGAGCCTTCATCTAAAAGGAGTGCATCGACAGCAATGCCAACTGCGTCGCCCAACATTTTCTGAAACGCACGTAAATCAGCAACGTCCTTCTCCATCTCGAAGCGCGATCGATGCTCCCATGGTGGTCGTTCTTCAGGAGGGTGCTCGGTGATGAGAGGGAAGGAACTGTTGTTGACGTTTTCGACTGATGGTGATCGCATTAATTGGCTCGTTAGATCGGGAATATTTTTCTACAAATAACTCCTCAATAAAGGGGAAATAAGGAGAATATCACAAACCGGACTTACGCGTATCTCCGATACAGCATTCATTACTGTCTTGTTTATCCCGAGACTTTCTCCCCTCTCAAACAGACCTCGCGCAAGAAGTTCCGGGAAGCCCATCTGTAATGACTGGGATTGCGGCACAGGACGATGTTGTCCTTGAGGAACTTTGCTCGGGCCAGCTTTATGCGCATCCGTGCTTGACCGCGGCCTCGTTGGTGGCGGCCTTGTTCGGATGGGTGACCGTAGAGGTTCAGGCACGTCTAATGGAATGTTCAGCAGGTTCCTGTTCTCAATCGCTATCGAGGCTCCCGTTGATGGATTTGGAGCAGTGTACAGAGCGAAAGCTTGACGAAGGAGGAGTATGGCGGGATTAGGGCAAGACGGATCGATGTCTGATGGGGGCGATGGATAACGTAGAAGGAAGGTGAGCTGGACACTGTACTCGGCGGGAATTACTACACGAAATTAGATTAACCATGGTAGAAGGATGAGAAGACGTAGCTCACATTGATTCCTTATTCGGATCAACATTGCGACACATATCCACGGGACTAATTCAAAGGATCCATCGCAGGAAAAGATTCCGTCCCAAAGCATCATTGCATCTGGAAGACTGAACTCTCTTGTGAACAAAAGCCTAAGCCAGCGTCTACAATAACCGAGTACCATCAGTTTATATGCGCTGTAAAACCCGCTGTATGAAAAACTGACATTCCGTATATCTGCGGTTCTACACCAGCTTTTTGCATTCCTTGCCATAACTGGGGATCAGCAGCCCTAAGCATCTGTGATTGCAGTTTCTGGCATGCAATAACGATAGGAGCCACGTAAGGTTTCAACTCTAATTGACCTTCTGGAGGGCCATGGCGATACTGTGTCTGCAAAGCTGCTGGCATAGGAGGTGGTGTCGGTTCTCGCCATTCGTACCAAGACCTCATGCCGTCCATGACTACATCGAAAAGCGTCCATGCATCTGCTGCGACCCACGTACGCGAGCAGAACTCTATGATGCCGGGATCCTCATTTTCGGCTGGGAGTAAAGAATCATAATCGACTGCATGAAATAATGGTGCAAGGAGCTCGTGCATGCCCTGTCGATAGCCAATGTCGGGATGTGTCACTGAGTATACGTATAAGATGTGCGTAAGTTGTGCTTGCACGTCTGAATCTCGAAAGTAGTCATGGTCAGGAAATCTAATTAACTCAAAATAAATCAGTGGGCGTGTTATTGGAAGAGAGGTGGGTGTAGCTTACGTCCTTTCAACATCTTGGCGGATTGTCTTTCGTAGTTCTACTGCAGTGAACCATTCTTTCCACGGATTCTATTCAAGAATCTTAAGCATGGTAATATAAGTTTTCACTTGAATTACTCACATCTTCATGAAGACTAAGTGGGTTATCACGTTGCAGATTGACCCTCATTTCTGATGGTCGAGGTAACTCTTCCACACCGGGAATACTAAAGCTCTCCTCGTAACTACCATCAGGCGCCCGCATCTTTTCGAGCAGAAGCGATGTATATCCTTTTCTTTTGACCTTTAACGCCTCTAATGGGGGCTTCGCCGGGGATTGGGAGGCCGGGGGCGTCAAAGGCACTGTGGGTATCAAGAACAGCTGAGCGATCGCTTTAATTCATGTGTTTCACTGTAAGTAGCAGATAAGCGAATAATTCACCTTCCAAGCCATGCTCCTTCCCGCCACTCCCAAGCCGTCTTGTTCAGCCGGATCCGTGAAGAGTCGTCCACAGAATGCTGCATCCTTGATCCTTGATAGAGGTGTATTCGAACGAAAGAGGCGGTCATACGCCACACTGAAATGTAATAATCAGTAAAAAATAATTAAGATACATAGAGCCAGAAGCTGTACGAGATCTTTTGTGGGTCTGGTCGTTCCCAACGATCCATCGTGGTTGGAGTTCAAGTGCATAGAGATCGCACAGTCAGGACGCGGTGTATTCGGACACAGCCGAGCAAGCGCGTGTCTGCTAAATCTTGGGAGCGCGACTGCAATTTGGACCCGCGCCTGGATCGTCGGGGTCGGTCATGTCGACGACGTACCGCCTCATTGCACCCATAACGACACAAAATGGGTTATATACGCAACCGATAACATCCTTGGCATTTGATCCTGTGTCGGATACACTTTGGACTGGCAATAATTCTGGAAGCGTAGTAGCATATTATGGCACACAAGGAACTCGCGGCGTTCACTTTCCGGTTGGGGGAGACTTGGCTGTGAAGAAGATACTGGTCGGCGACAAGTATGTCAGAGCTCTTGGGTCGGCGGGAAGAGGTGTTGGGCAATGGAGCAAGGGCGGAGCGAACAACTGGTATCATAAGTAAACCGCTCAATCTACAGCAAGCTGGGCTGGAAGTGATATTTTGCCTATTTAGGTCCTTGCATACTGTTACGACTTTCTCTAATGCAATAAGCGCGTCTCCAAACATTGCAATATCCACGGGTATCCCGGAGCTTGCCTTGATCAACAGCTCAACGGGTGCTCTAGTCAGACAATGGCCTGCTCCGTCTCTCTTGACTCACCTCGTGTCTTCTCATACGCTTCTTCTCTCTGGCTCGGGAGATGGCTACATTCGGACGCATGACATACGAATCGGGCCGAAGGGTGATTTCGGAGAATTATCTGTGAAAGCACACACGAAGGGTGTGCAGGGTTTAGAGGTTAGCGGTAACCTCGTATTCTCTATTGGTTGGGGTGTTAGGTATGTGATTATATGCAGTATTATAAGTCCATAATTTTATAGGAGAGAAAGACAGGGAAGGCCGTTCCCGGAACCGCTGGTGAAAGTCTACGACCTGAGAAGCTTTAAAGCGCTACCTCCATCCTCTTTCTCTGCTGGACCTGGGTTTATTAACACCCTTCCTCGACGGTCATCCAGCGTTGTCGTCACTTCGACGAGAGGTCTTGTGAATATAGTGGATACATCCAACCCAGGCGATGGTGGTGAATTCTATCAGGTAAAGCGTGTCGTTACGTACTCGCAAACCGTGTTTCTTATTCTATCGTTCGTCTAAGCTTGACGTCTCGTCCTATGTCAGCTCCGTAGCAGTCTCCGCTACGGGTGTCTATCTTGCCTTTGGTGATGCCGATGGTGGTATCCAACTGATGACAGCGGGCGATGAGGAAGGGACAGTACCCTTCAATGGATTTGAGGGGCAGCCGGTCGAATGGCCAGACGTTCCCGAGCCAGTTCCTAGTATTGATTGGAACGACTCGACGTGAGATTTTTTTGACTTTGTCTTTCCAGATTCCTCACTGATTCTCTTCAGTCCTCTGAACTCGATAGGTATGCCGTACTACGACTCAATGCTGCTTTCCTCCTGGACGCCCAAGTTCCTCCCTCCGAACTTATCTTACCCTCCACCACCCAAAATCCCTACGCAAATCTTGAGCAGCATGAGAATGAACGATTTCGTTGGTTATGCGACATTACCGAAGGAACTACAAGGCAGGCGGAACGTGGTGTCGACGGACACGAAGAAAGACAAAGGGAGGTTCCGTAGTGTGCGACCTCGCTCTGACCAGGTAACAGCCGAAGTTATACGGATTTTTGAGGTATCTGAGTTGATTTCTCACAGACGGAGCCAGAAACTCCAATTGAAGAAGGACTGGAAGAAATTCCACGCCCGTTCCGCGAGGTGTCTATCCAGTATTCGAAATTCGGTGTTGAAGACTTTGATTTTGCGTAAGTACTCTCGTTTAGAGTTGTATGGCTGGTATGGCCTTTGACGATATTCCTGGAATAAACAGTTTCTACAACAAAACAGAATATAGCGGACTCGAATCGCATATCGTCAACTCCTATACGAACAGTCTCGTCCAAACGCTACACTATTGTTTACCTATTCGACGCCTTGCGGAATCACATATCCTTACCAGCTGTAATCGCGAGCATTGCTTCCTCTGTGAGCTCGGATTCGCTATGCGCATGCTCAGCGATGCTCGTGGTGTCAATTGTCAAGCTAGCAACTTCTGCAAGACTGTTGGAGTGCTTGCTCAAGGTAAGCCATACTTTAAATAGCGCATATAGACCTTGGAATTATTAACTAAACGATTTATATAGCATTTAATCAGATTTCGTACATCGACTACGGGAAGCCTGCACACACCTACAGCGACACTATTCAGGGCTTCCACAGGTTCCTCCTCGATCAGCTAAGCTCGGAAGGGAATAATTTCCCTCATAATCCTCTTATCATCCCGTCCGAGAACACGAATCCATCGATGATCGCTGCACCAGTTACGCAATTGCTTGGTTTGGATACCAAGACGAATATTTATTGCACGAGCTGTAAGAGGAAACGGCAAAAGGAAGGAATGGCACACGTTACGGATATGATATTTCCAAGACCCGTAAGTAAAGCTTGAACTTTTAATCGTTCTAACTGTATTTTGCTTATATATTAACTTATTTCAGAGTCCTGGTAATAATCCACCACAAGCAGACTTCGCGAGTATCATTCGAGAGTCGTTGCTTCGCAGTAACGTCTACAAAGCGACGTGTCCCCTCTGCAAACAATTCTCGTCAAATGAGAGTCGCAAATCCGTACCTTCGAAAGACCTTCCGCCGGTATTAGCGCTCAATACGTCGATATATGAGGCTGGGAATTCGTCTCATAGACTCTGGTTCGATAGTCGACTTCGCCAGAGTAATTTCTTGCAGCCGTTTGTTGAGATTCGTGGACAGGTCGATGGTGTTGACGAAGCTGAGGTTGTTCAATATGAGCTTCGAGTAAGTTGTCGACACGAAGTACTTTACTTTCGAACTAAATGGGATTTATTGTTGACAGTCGATGATTGTGGAAGTAGTTCCGGAGGGCAAGAAATACGGACATCTAGTTTCTGTGGTAAAGAGTTAGTTGACCCGCCTGTTCGTGCTGAATATCAGCTGAATAAAACATCTGCAGTCCCTGAAGCCGAGAGAGGACAATTAATGGAACCATGGATTGTGTTCAATGATTTCGTCGTTACGAACGTTTCGGAACGGGAGGCTCTTGGGTTTTCTGGTAATTGGAAGGTATGTTCCAAGTCGTGTGCGTTTATCGATATGGATAAACAACTCTCCATTATTTTAGGTCCCTGCAATCTTGTATTATGAGCGGGTTGATATGCAGGACAAATTGAAACTAGATGCGCTTCCAAGAGAGCTTGACGTATCTATTCTATGTAAAGATATAAACCTTTCTTTGTACGTATTTACTTGTTGCTGGCATCCGTTACCTAAAACAACTACTTCATTTCGCAGGAATCGGGATAACGCATCCATTAAGCATGAACTACTAGGACAGGACGAGCTTCCAAAGCCAGGGACTATGGTCTCTATTGATGCAGAGTTCGTCTCGATGCAGCAGGTTCTCTCAGTTCATTCTACATGTATCCACTAGCTCACCCTTTTCTCAGGAAGAATCAGAGTATCGGTCAGATGGTACGAAGAAAGTCCTTCGCCCTGCTCGTCTAAGTCTCGCTCGTGTATCCGTCCTGCGAGCTACGGAAGGACCAAAGTTCGGCGTACCGTTCATCGATGATCATATACATACCAGTGAAGCGATCGTGGATTATCTGACTGAGTATTCTGGTATCAAATGTACGTGTCTCTTTCCGCCTGCTGGGAAGTATTTGATTGGTTGACTTATTTTATTTATGATGATGATTTAAGATGGTGACTTGGACCCACATATGTCGAGACAAACGCTTGTCCCATTGAAGGTGGCGTACAAAAAACTTAGGTTACTTGTGGATCTTGGATGTGTCTTTATTGGACATGGGTTGAAGAAAGATTTTCGCATCATCAGTAAGTCCATCTTCCTTCGCACGTGCACATCCATGACACTAATAAAATATCGTAATAGACTTGTTCGTACCTGCAGACCGAGTACTCGACACCGTAGACATCTACTTCATCGAATCTCGTCATCGACGACTCTCCCTGCGCTTCCTTTCATGGATAGTATTGAAAGAGAACATCCAAACCGGCGAGCACGACTCGATCGAGGATGCACGTTGTGCCCTATTGCTGTTTCGCAAGTTTCAGGAGTACGAAGAACAAGGACTTTGGGACGAGAAACTTGAAGAGCTGTACAAAGAGGGGAAACAACATGTAAGTATATTTCTTCACTCTATTCAAACCGATTTTTGACTTGATATCCTGTAGAGTTGGAAAGCACCACAAGCACCCCAACCTCCTACACCCACACCTATACAAAACGCCAACATCCCACCCATTGCGCAACAAAATACGCAAATGATGAGACAGTCTCCGTACGGAGGGATGTACCCGAGTAACATGATGTTCGGTGGAGGGGAGTTCTCCACTTCTCAGTCTGCTGGACAGAGCACTCCCCCAAGGCATATGCAGGCTGGTTTTGCTCCGAGTCCGGGTCCGGGACCATTCCAGCAAAGTTGGCGTAGGTCACATCGATGAGATAGATAAATGGGTAGCTTGGGCATTTTTTGTTTTGTTTTTGTGTCCTCTTGCTGTCTAATTGCTTTGCATGTGATTTGTATTGAATATATGCAATGTGTATTTGTAGGGCATTACATGTAATGAAACGTGTGCATCGGCATGAATGAGAGTAAGATGAGTGAAGAGTGATGAAGTGCTAACAACATGACGCCCTCCGAATTATCCACAGAGAACGATGTTATTGAGTAGGAGACTTCAAGCATTGCTCCACAACGTTCAGGAGCGCATTATTCTCCAACGCAGCTGCAACCCGTTCCTTATCGTTCAGTTGCTTGTTTACTATGAAAGTCAATAATCAGAAAAGTCATGGTTCGGAAATGTCGACTATATGCGGACGTACATGCACTCTCGCTTTGATGAGACCCAGGCTTGACGCGAATGTCCACCTTGAAACGATGTGGAAGGGTTCGCATCAGTCGGACTCGTATTGACAGGCCTAATCAATCAATTTCGTTAACAGAGGAATCTAAAGGCGTGGGTTTGTGTATGTAGGCACCAATGAGCGTCGAAGCGCCGCAATGCGGTACGGTCGGTGTGAATTCGACAAAGACGTTATTCCCTTTGATATCTACTTGGCCTGCGGAAACAACTGCGAGTTGTTCTAGAGTCAAGGGATGTTCTGGGTCCAAAATTCCCCGGATATGTTCTATTCAGCCAACTGTAAGCATATATCCGTGACGGAAGAAAGAAATTATGCATTCCCATACCGAATATCTCATCGGAGTCGATTGGCTCTACTTCGTCGTCATCACTATTATCTGATGCATCTACGTCATCGATCCATAATGAATGCGATGAGAGCGAAGATTTTGAGGGCTTTGAAGTTGTGAAGACTGTTGGGTTTGCATTGTATATTTCTGCGGGCATGGTGGTTTCGGTGCAAGTTTTGAGTGTGGTGACTAAGTCGAGGTCAAGGATCGACTGGTATACTATAATTAGAATGTAGCTGCACGTGTGGCGATCACGATTCAGCATCTAGCATCCATCCTTCGCCTTACAATTGACTTCCCGCTCTCGCCTCTACGATGGACGATCAAGAATTAGCAGCGATCCGAGCCGCTCGACTACAGCAACTCCGTCAAAATGCATCACCACCCGGCCAAACCTCTTCCTCTTCGCCTCAGGGATTCCCATCACCACCTGGAGGCGGAAATAATGACCCAGACGCAGAAGCGAAACGCGCGGCTGAAGAGCAGATGAGGAGAGATTTATTGGCGACTGTGCTTGATCAGAAGGCTCGGGAGAGATGTGAGCTTTGTTTCTTGCTTTTTCTTTTGATTGAGTTGTGTCAGAAGTTTCATTGACACGGATGAATGATGTTGGTAGTGGCGAGGATAGCGCTTGTGAGCCCTACGAGGTCTTCGCAGATGGAGACTATTCTACTGCGAATGGCTCAAACTGGGCAGTTGAGAGGGCGTGTAGGCGAGGATCAGCTGATAAGTCTCCTGGAACAGGTGCGTACATCCAATGCCTGGTAATGATCAGTCTAATTAATCACATTATCGAATGTAGGCCGAGGATGCGCAGTCTAAGGTTGGAGCTAAGAAGGGAGCCATTGTCGTGTGTTCAAACCACTAAAGGACTATTATTGCAGCTAACATTTCATTGCAGTACCAGCGTCGGAAAGAGTTGGACGATGAGAATGATGATTTCGATTTCGATCTGTAACAGGTAGTATTTCTTGACATATGAGTCTACCTACTACCTGGATCATTGCCAGCACAAAACCTATTTTAATTTATGTACTGCTCCTGACAAATGAAGCAAATAAATGAAACTTTGTTATATTTTGCCATAAATTATTGCCTGTGTCTGGGGCAACCCTAAAAGGAGAACAATTGCGTAATGCGCGCCGGCCCTGAAGAGGACTTGTGAAATGTGAAGGAACGTGTTGTGCACTCGCGTCTTCTTCGTTCTGTCCTTTCCTTCTCCATCCTTCGCGCTTATTTCTTCCCCAACCCACCATGTCGATGTCAAAGCTGCATCCATCGCTCCCTGCTCCGGTGGTCCACAGCAGCCATATGACATCCTCGGCCTCAAAATCACACGTACTGGCCGGTGTACAGGACGCGTATTGGAGTGATGAGGAGGCGGTAAGTCTTTGCCGTGCTCTTTCCTCGGAGAAATTTTTACGGTGGCACACCAACTTTCTAGGAAGATGAAGACTGCCCGCTCTGCCTTGAGGAGATGGACTTGTCTGACCTGAATTTCAAGCCGTGTCCGTGTGGTTACCAGGTCGGTCGCTTTCGCATATACTTTCTGACAGCGGCGCCTAATGCAAGGTGTACCGGAAGATTTGCCGTTTCTGCTGGCATCATATCAAAGAGAATCTCAATGGCCGCTGTCCTGCGTGTCGTCGTGAATATTTTGATGAGGCCGTCCAATTTAAGCCGGTCAACAAAGAGGAGTACGTTGTTCCGGTTCCGGTTAATGATGCCACTTAGTTTTTTCGCTTATTTTACTCGTCAACCAGCCTTAAGCGCCTAACGCAGCAAAAGAAACAGCGTGAACGCGAAAGAAAGGACCTTGATGCCCTTGGGAGGCGTCACCTTACAAATGTGCGAATCGTACAGCGCAACGTGGTGTATGTCGTCGGTCTCGGATCACGCTATGCAAAGGAGGAGGTAGGGCTACCCCACTCTGTTGGATCACGTTAATGATGCTAACAGAGGTTCACAGCTAATTCCGACTTTGCGCTCAAGTGATTATTTTGGGCAGTATGGGAAAATCACTAAAATCTTGCTTGTGAAGCGCACTCCGCCCGGTGGGAGGGCTCCCATCCTCGGGTTGTATATATCGTATTACCGGCGTGAAGATGCCGCTCGCGCTATTCAGGTAGTCGATGGTGCTCCCTCACCTAGCGGTGGAGATGAGATGATGCGAGCGAGTTACGGGACTACCAAATACTGCATTGCATTCCTTCGAGGCGTCTCATGTACGAATCGTGGTTGTATGGACCTTCATGAATGGGGTGATGAAAAGGATTGTTTCACCAAAGAGGATCTGACCACATTGTGAGATGTTTCTTATCCAGTCTTTTGGGTTGATACTAATCCCTATTAGGAAACATACAATGAAGGATAGTGAGAATCGTCAAAGGTCTGGAGTCGGGATCAAGAGATCCGAAGAAGGTGGTAAGTGTTTCCGCCTTGTGGGACATTTTCGTCCGATGACTAAATTATTTCTCTCAGCTGGGTTACCGCGTTCCGCTGGTTGGGGCACGAAACCGGCTCTCGGACCTTCGTCAGTGGGTAATGCAGGTGGTACTTCTGCTCGGGGTACTCGCAGAGGTCACCGCACCACCAGGTCCGGTGCAGTGGGCGAATCACGGACGCAACAATCTCTTTCTGCCAGACAGGGAGCTCCGCCAGAACGAAGACAACCTACGAAGCCCTCATCGCAGGCGTCCTCGTCTCGACCTTCCACACCTAGCATTGCGGGTCTACCTCAACTCCCTGCTTCTCCCGCATCTGCCATTCAAACTGCTAGGCAGAAGCAGCGGAAGGATTCTCAGAATCCCTTACCTCCGCGCTCCCCAGCTTCTTCCGTTGCTGTGGAATCAGATGCAGGCTCTGGAGAGGCCGTATCTGCATCGCCGTCTTTGTCTGCTCCAAGAGTGGCTACCCCTCCTGTTTCTACAACGGCGGCTCCTCCAGGTTTACCAGCCGTACCTCCTGGCCTGAGTACTCCTCCGCCTGGCATTGCAACGCCCTCAACTGCACAGACCTCTTCCCCTCTTATTCGCGAGGCTTCGACTTCATCTTATCAGATCTCAACTCAGGCCCAGGCGTTGCTTGACGATGTTATGAATCGTCGTGAAGCACTACCATCTTCAACGTCCTTTAGTCCCTTCCCGGATCTTGATCGCACCTTACAGAATCTCACTGGCGGAGATGGTGAATCGGGTGGTTTTAATTTCAATTTAGATCCGAAGCTTGCCGTCGACGATGAACAGTTTGATGCTCTTCCGGACTTAGATAGTGACCAAGCGTTATCGCCTGGTGGGCACTTTGATCCGTTCTCCGACGGGCGTCCAGTCAATAATGCGTCGCCATTCCACCCACCCCCTGGACTTTCGCATGGTATTATGTCGTCTAGGCCTCTTTATGAAAGTTTCAAGGCACCTGGAGTAGAAAGGACTGCGTCGTCTTCGTCAGGATACACTGGATCATTCAATCCTTTCGGAGAGGCGCCAGAGACGCCGTCTCATACCTTTGCTCAACGACCTTCCCCAGCACCGGACGATGACGCTTCTCGCCGAATGTCACGATTTGGTTTTGCTCGGGAAAGGCAAAGCTCGAGTGGATTCCTAAATTCTGGGACGTCCTCTCCACTTTTGAGTGCAAATACCTCTTTATCATCTCTTTCGCTGGCCGAGAATGCAAATCCGCCCTCAGGAACGAGCTCACATGCACCATGGCCGTTCCAGAGACAGCATGAGTTCCCGCCTCCACCAGGCTTGGGCATGCCAACGCGTACAGGAACACCAGGTTCAACGCGTGGATCTCCACTTGTCCCTTATGCTCATGCACAAGCGCTTCCTCATTCGACACAACCATCCTATGCACCTCAGACAACACGCTTTCAACCCTTCGACATGGGCTCATCTGAGCAGTCTTTGAAGGACATGTTGGGTATTGGCCGTGGCCCGGCTGTGCGCACGACTGGAGCTTCTGGTTTGTTTCCCTGTTCCACTGTGTTGTAACCGGAACGATAACAGACATCTTTTTGCTATTAGACAACCATAATGTACTAAGCTCTTCTCGAGCTCCGTTCCATGATCCCGCCATTATGTCGTCAGTTCCATATATGTCCGCTGCAGGGAACGATGGCGGGTTCCACTTCTCTCCGCCAGACAGTAGTTTCTCATCGGGCCTATCCCAAAGCAAACCTCCCGGGCTTTCTCTTCAGCATGGTCAGCAATTCACGTCACAGCATAACGTGTCTTTTCCGGGACAAGTCCCTTCGTCGCTAGCATTCGCCAACGGATTGGTGACCTCGCCCATGATTGCTCAAGGTCAATCCCATAATCAAGGACCTTTGGGTAAGTCTTTACGTGCCAATGTGTATAGTTCTCTCTCCACAAGCCATGCTTCCGCAGCGCGAAGACTGTTATGGTCGTGAAAGTAGTCGTCGCAATCGATGCGTTCTGTATTCTGTTTGCTGCCTGCTGTCAAGCACGATATTTGCTTCTATGTTTTATCGGTTTTGCTTCTTTTCTGAATTATACATGTAAGGATGTGTCTGAGCTAATACTGTTTTAACCTTTCTTGAATCAGTCTATCACTCATCACCACCATCTTTTTCTGCATCATTGCCTGAAAATGAATCTACACCGGAACCAAACCGTGCTCCATCTCCGATGCTCTCGGCTGCTGACTTCCCGGCTTTACCAACCGCTGGTGCAAGCTCCGACACCCATTCGCAACCGCGTACTGCTCAATCAGCGCAACAGACCCGTGATTCTTCTCCTGTCAAGGATGAAGCCGTTCAGACAAAGTCGGATCGTAAGGCTGCGAAGAAAGCAGAAAAGGCGGTCGAACGTGAGCGCATAGCGAAGGAGAAGGCAGCTGAGAGAGAACGTATCTCAAAAGAAAAGGCTGAACAGCGAGAGCGAGCTGCTAGGGAGAGAGCCGAAGAGAAGGAGCGACAAGCGAAGCAAAAGGCTGAGAAAGAGCGTTTAGCAAAGGAGAAGGCAGAACGCGAAGCTGAGAAAGAGCGATTAGAAAAGGAACGTCTGCTTGCGATGCGAAAGGTTGAAGCGGATAAGGTGGCAGAGAAGGCGGCAAAGAATAAAGCTCAGGCGAAGGCCAAACAAAGTCTAAAGGGTGATACTGCGGAAAAGGCGGAAGGTTCTCGGCCAGCCACGAGCAGGACTCAGTCTAGCAGTGCTGCAGTCGAGACTGCTTCACCTATGCCCATATTGTCAAAGATGCCGAAGAAGAACAAACCGACGACGAAGCCGATCAGGATTCCGAAAGAGGATGATGTAGCCCATGATACGCAATCCAGTGTTCCTTCCGCCGTGACCGCTAACTCAGAGTCGGTTCAGCTTCCTACGCCGAAGCTACCCAATGTGTCCGAAGTCACGCGATCTTCTTTAGAGACAGATGTTGACAGTGCTGGTATGACTCGGGAGTCTTCTGAAAGTGGTCCTGCGACGAAGGCAAAGTCCGTTGCGGAACTCTTTGAAGACATCGACGTAGAAAAGGGACAATTTTACCTCGACACTCATCCCTTCTTCGATACGAGCAAGATTAATTCGGCTACCAAGATCTCACTGGATTACAATACCATGGCTCGAGCGCTTTCTGCCTTCCCAGTCACCGGAGCGGTTTTCACGGACCACCTGTCCCCTCTCAATGATAAGACCGTTGCATCATTCCAGCAGCTATTGGAAACATTGACCCAAACAATGTCGGACTTGGTACAGCTTCTTCCTCAGTCGACTTGGGGTTCAATATTCGATGTACTCAGTCAGGATTTGAAGAACTTGAAGCATGAGTATGCGTTGCACAGCTCGACATCGTTCGACGGCCTCGTTCACGATGATTTACCTGAGGACGCGGAGGATGACGAAGACCTTGATACTGATTCGCTTGAACCATTGACCCCAACAGTAGATAAGCGCGCGAAGTGGATGGAGATTCAACTGGCGAAACTGGAGGAACTGCATCGCGAGGTTAACTTGGCGGCTGTGCGTACAATTCTTGCATCCAACGACCAAGGCTGGGACCCTCATGGATCCCTGCCGCATGTGGGTAACACTTTAGCGCGGTTTGACCAGCTTGGTATGGTGGACGAGGGTGGTCATAAGCGGCCGATGACGAGTGAAGAGCTAGAGAAGAAGTTGGTAGTAGCGAAGGAGGCTGCGGTGTTTGCTGAGGCAGAATTGCGAGAGGCGATGCAGGCAATGTCGGTGAACAAGCCTTGAAGTGAGAGGTTGGACTTTCGCCGGGAGGGAACTACTTAATTACAGGAAATAAAAAAATAAGAATTTTCATTTAAAAAAATAAAGATTTAAGTTCTGACTAACCTGTCAAAGGCTGACATTGGACGGCTGGATTATTTCCTGTTCTCGACCGCATTTCAGGCGAGGCTGGCATGCTTCAAATTCATTTAAATCTGTTGGCAAAAGTTTTGGCCTCTCGCCCCGCCTCTCATTTCCTTGGTCCCGTTATCCTGCAAGCCAGGGATATGGTCTCGATCACGAAACCACAACCAACTCATCGTTCTGGCGCAACGCTAGTACTTCTCTTTATTGCAACTGGAACTCGTTTACTCAAGGGGCTAAAAGCGAAGAGGACAACTGCGCTTGACGATATTCATACCCATGCCTCTGCTTATTATCCATCTTACTCTGGGCTTGCAGGACTTGCAAATGAGTCGGAGACTATGCTCCTTGGGATGGAGATCAACGGGTACTGGAAAGAAGTACGAGCTTCGTTAGGGCTGCCGACCTTACCCGACACTATCGTCGTCCCGGCTATTGTGAATACTACTAGCACTGGTGGTACGACTGGATCACAGTCCTATCTGTCGGTGGAGGATGAAGGCTATCTACGACGTCTGGGCAGGATTAATCCTAGGTTATGGAGGAGGCGGCTTATGTTCCAGGTTCATCCTCCAACTACCTCGTCTTCTTCTCTTTCTCGGGAACACAGTCAGAAGGAACAAGGACAGGGACAGAATAAACTGTTGCTGGATAACACACATACGGGAGCTGTGTCGAATTTATTACTTACCAATCAGGACGGTACGAGGCAGGCTCCCAGTTTTCAGGATTCGTTCCCTTCATCCGGGGCGGAGTTCGCAGAATTATTCATTTCTCCCGATGTATTCAATACAACGCGACGGACCTCCGTCAGCGAGATTGCAGCCTCCTTCCGCGCGATCGCAATCAAGGGACTTAGGAGGCCTGGTAGATTCCCGTATTTAAGACATGGAAAGCATACGATCCGTTGAGGCCCATGGCATTGACTTCGTCTGAGAAATCGGAAAAGGGGGTTGAGAGGGGGATTAATGATAAAACTGATATTATTTAATTTAATCTCAAATGTATTGTATCTGTATGTATGTATCTGTACACGTGTATTAGCTGTATCTCTTAGTTTCTCGTTCTTGCACAACTGTAGAATAGATGTGTAATTGTAAACATCCATTTTATGTTTTGTTTCATCCGGCACAGCATTCATCACACCGCATGTCAGGTGAACAAAATGAAGTATTGACTTGATACTTCTGCTATCGAAGACAACTATAACATAACGACACAGTGACTAATGAGGAATATTGCGTAGTAAGTAATTAGGTATCTATTGTTCACGAAAATTAACTGGTCTTTTCAGGACGATAATAACACCCGAAACGTACATTGTGAGTAGTTTCAAATATCTCTATATGCGTAGATCTCAGGTGGAAGGGGGCCGAGCGTTTTCGGGATCGGATCCGGCGCTGCTACCGGCTTTCCCCTTCTTCCATTCAACGAAGTCGTCGAGTAAGGTGGGCCAAGCCTATGAATGTGTGAATATCGTATACTAGCTTGTTTACTCAGTTAACTCACCCCTTCACTATCGTAGCCATCCAGATTGGGAGTTACCGATTCACAATACTCCTTCATCTTCATCACTTCTGTCAGCCCTGACCTTGTAATGGTATTAGGAAAGCACTAACCATAGTCCATAGGTCCTTGTTAACACCCTTATACGTCCCTCTGTCCTTGGGTGGTGTCAGTTCGGCGCCGTATATACGTATATGCACAGCTCACATTTATGAAATCTATGACTTCCGACATGAGGGGATATGTCGGTGCTAGAATAACCGACCAGAAGGCGCAAGCATACTAGTCGTAGTGTTAGTGAAGTAAGAAGGTACATTCATGTGAACACGGCTCTCACATCCATATCTATGCTGCGAGCACCCCTAAAATAAATAGAAGATGAGCATCAACTGTTCTATTGATAAGATATAAGGGCGTATTCACTCTTTCTTGACAAGTGTGAAACAGAAGCCGTAAAACTCCGAGAAAGCTGAGTCGACAGTCGCCGCGTATTTCCAATAACGGTCCTTCTTGTACTTATCAATAGCGGGTGGCGCGGACTTTGACTTAATTCCTTTTGAGATGGATCGTTCAGTCGGCTTGGCTGGAGGAGGCTTGCGCAACACTATCAGCTCTTCCAGATCGATGAGGGCGTCGGCTAATGAATCAAGACTCCTTATTCTAATCAAAGGAATAAACTACTGTCTAAAAGAAGAAATTGGAGATTACGTACTGCAACTCATTCATACCATTTATCCACTCGTCGCGTGAGAAGGTCCCGAGCTCCTTCGCGTCGAGTTGCCAGGAGAGCAACAGTGGACGGGCACCGTCCATTGGAATATTAGCGTCATTACACAGTCGCTCAAGTCCTTCTGCACCCATTGCTTGAGGGTCATTGGCGTCGGCATATGTGTCGAAGATTTCCTCCGGCGTCTTTACACCTTCTTGCTCTCTTGATTTCCCGGAAGCCCGTTTCTTAGTAGGAGCTGAACCTTCCTCTGCGCCGTCATCACTGCTGGTTGTCTTATTAGAAATGCACCATGAGCAGAAAGGCATTCGAAGGTAGGAAAAAGGTGAGAGAAAGCAAGACGCAAACGCGTACAGCTACCCGAGCCCGTCGCCTTACTGCTGAGCACAGCGGATCAGTACGCGACGATGAGAGTACGCAAGAAGCATGAAAGGTGAAGCGTGAGGGCTAATGGTAGCGCCCACGTGGTTGACACGTGCTCTTAATTTTGAAATGACGCCGGTTCGGGACCGGATGCTTTGGTTCCAAAGAAAACTCACTTCTTCTCAGTCGCGGCAGACGGTCTTGTTTCCTTTGACCGCTTCCTCGTCTTCTTTTCCTGTCTCGGTGGCTTAGCGTAGTATTGCGAATGGAAAACATGCAGTCCTCACTAAGATGAAGTCACTGCAAAGCTTATTAGGTGTTAACCTAGAGGAACGGAAGAAACGGACGCACGAAGGTTTCCGTTAAGTAATGCGGAAGAACATTAACCCTAGAAGATTTGCTCAGTGTTTACAATATTTTAACTTTTGGCTCTCGCGGGAAGCACACTTCTTGGGTATCCAATCTGGAACGAAGTTAGTGAAAAAACATCATCAAAACGAAACATACGAACACAGCTTTTCTCTTTCTAGTTACAGCATCCGAAGACTATCCAAAAGTAAGAATGCGTTCTGAAGACGAATAAATATCCCATGAGCGTACATTCTCTCTATATGCAATAACCCCAATGAGCCATCTTGGAATGATTTGAAATGGGGAACTACTTACGAGTAAATTAGGGTTCGAAGACGCATTTATGCGTCAGATATTCTTCTTAACTATGTAACAGAGCATAGATATCTGACCAGGTATCGCAGACGCGTCTTTTTGACGCGCTGACCTACGTGTTCCAAGTGGAGCGCTTGGAGAAGTTGAATCTTCGACTTCCGGATTTGCCTTCTTTCGCTTGTTGGGAAAAATATCATGAGCATAGCGATTTGAACAAGTAGAGGCGAAAGATGGCATACTCTGGCTGGCATGACTCAATATTTTGACGGGACGGGTGCACAAAGGAAAGGATCGATAGTCTGCAGCACTGGTCCTGCGATTTCTAACGAAGCGCGCCACAGTAACGTCCGCGTCACGATCACGTGTATACCATATTTCCGTTCCACCCCGACTTTCGGTAGCATTTCTTCGTCCACCCTTCTTTTCCTACGACATATCCAATTCCCAGTCGGCGACTTCACCCATCTTACAGCTTCCATATCCCATTCGCTGTAAGACTAAGTGAATATGCAACGCCCAATAATGGAGCTACTTTTTGTCACGTCTGAATATTGCGGCGCCAAGATCTCCGGCGCACATGGTAGTCAGTCCCGCCACAGTGAACGACCCAAATTGATTTTTAACTCCGGACTGCAAAAGACTTCATACATTGCGAGTGCCCTACTCCTTTTTGCCCCCCTCCGAATGGAGCCTCTACCTGCGAGTCGATGTCCATTTCCAATCGATGATTTGGTCCCGATTATCATACAGCAAGCCTCTTTGACTTATCATCCTAAAGACCTAGCGAAATTGTCCCTGGTTTCCTCTGTTTGGCTTGGTGCCACTCGTCGCATTCTATACTCTTCGCCCCACATCCGCTCATATCACTCCTGCCACCTCTTATCACGGACTTTAGCTGATAAGCCATACTTCGGAAACCGGATCCGAGCCCTGCGTCTACATCCTGTGTCTCGAATATGCCCAACTGGGGGGAAATGCCCGTGTCGTGAAGTCAACACTATCGCTTTGAGCTTAACACCGCTCTTCCGCCTCGAGAATCTCTCTGAGCTCTCGCTGGGTGGTGACTGTGCGATCCACTCAGAGTGGTATCTGCGGAGTTTCCACTACACTGAAGGTATTACAAAGGTACGTGTGGAAGGTATGCAATGGTACTGGTCCTTTGAAGTCAATCGGCCTATCAATGCATCACTACGTTGGAATGAGAGTTTGGCTTCCCGGTACCAGAACTTGAAATATTTGGAACTTATGAATGTAGACTTACGTATCTGTGAACTTCAAGTATTCAAACCACACTTGCCACACTTGGAAACTCTAATCATGGACAGAGTCCGGATAACACACGGAAACCTTTCAAACATAGCATTCGATGCATGGCAGAATTTGAGAGAACTAACAGTCGTCGTCCCGGAATACAGTCCCAACTACGACGTCAAGACTATCCTACTTCAGGCTGCACAGAATTTACAAGCTCTCAAGTACTGTATCAAAGAAGAATCACCGCGAAACGACCTCCATTCAGTAATTGGGGTAGATGTACTCGCGTCCTGTACTTCCCTTCGCGATCTTCAGTTATCGGTCTTGTTCAAAACTTCAGCTTTGAAAGCTTTGGGGCAACGTCTCACTCAACTAGAATTGCTCAAAGTATTCGGTAATTACGAAGTTGACATTGAAGAGTGGGCGGTAGAGATTATGAACGGAATATTTCCAAAATTGCGTGAGATTAGTCTGCCAATTGGCCATGAGCTTCGACGCCTGGCAGACTGGCAGTGGTCTGCCTTACGGGTGGGGACAATACGAAGAGCATGCGAGAGCCGTGGCATCGCTCTAACTTATGTTTATTTACCGGATTAATTTATTTACGTTTTCGTTTCTTTTGGTGAATACCATTTGATCCAATGAGTCGCATCTGCTTTGAATACCGAATGTAAGCTACGTGCAAACCAAACCCTGGATTTGACTGAGATTATTATAGTTATTGGTCATTGTTTGACCTTATTTGAGAGTTTCCTTATCCGGCGGCAGGAGTTGACCGAAGGCGTAGAAACGTGACGAAGTGGACTTTGCTCTTGACTCTTTACCCACCCACGACTATCCGACCATGGCTCAACCTCCTCGTAAAGCGGGAGGCCTGTACGGCGGCATCCAGTTCTCATCCGCAACGACCGTCTTACCTTCTAGTTCAACCGAAATAACGCCTCAGGTTGACGAGAAGAAGAAAGACGTCGTCGAGTCTCTCACCTCAGATTCTCCATCTAGATCTCTTTCAGCAAGTACACCCGCACCAATTGCAATTGAGGGCCCTGCGACGGAAGCCGATGCAGCAGCGGGAAAAGCTTCAGCCGGTATTCAGTCCACTGTCCGCAAAGCGTAATAACACAGTATTAAATGACTACCCGTACATGATTTATTGCTATGCGATTCCATCGCCGACCCACTTTAGGCTGGTCCGCTGCTCTCGCCTTCGCACCTGTACGACGCGGACCAAAAGCAAAACCGAAGGCCCCGAACACGTCATCTCGTGCCCTGCCCGTCGGCGCACAGATCGCCGCAACGACAGTTTCCTCAACTGCAATCATCGCAGCGGAGCCAGTTCTAAACGTCGTCGAGCCCGAGAAGCCCAAGGAGGTCGATGAGTCCACCGGATTGGGATGGGGCAAGAAGATTAAGCCACCATCGATGGTCCTCGATGAGGACGTGAACGGATTTAGGGCAAAACGTAAGAAAAATAATGTTGGATCCGGAAAACGGAAGGGCAAGAAGGCTTGTATCGTCCTTCTATTTTATCTTAAACACACCTATATATTTATTATTTCTAATATTTAGAATAAAAATGTTCCAGCTGTCCCGACTTGGGACCCAGCAGAGCCTTACAATCCTATTCGACCCAATGATTATTACGAGTACAAGGAATGGAAGAAGCGCGAACAAGAGGAGCGAAGGCTGAGACTCGCTATCGAGAGGCAACAAAATGAAAGGAAGAGATATAGAAGTGATAGTTATTCCGCTAGCGAGTATTCATATAGCGATGATGATGACAGACCCGCGAAGAATGGTATCGATGATGGTACTTTTGTTCGCATTATCCGAGCTAATTAATTTCATCATGATAGCTAGATGGGAGGACGAGGCTAGGCATATGGATGATACGCCTCCTGTTGTGGTCGACACCTCTATGACTGGGGACGAGGCTTATGCACGCCGTCTGGCCATGTCTCAAGGTATTGCTGCTCCGTCAGCTACGACTCCAGCCCCGCGAACTAAGACAGAGACCGGTGACGAGGCATACCAGCGCCGCTTAGCATTGAGCCAAGGACGCGCTGTACCTGCACCAGAACCGGAACCGACTCGAATACCAAGTCCTGAACCAGAACCGACACTTTCCTTTAATCCATTCGCTCCGCCGTCTGTGCCACCTCCGCCAGAACCATTTCCGACCTCTGCGCCAGCTACTTCAAGTGCACAGAATCCTGAGTTCGAGGCCCGTCTCAAAAATAGTCGCGAGGCAGCTGCGGCCGTCGCTGCGCGTCTTGCGAAGCTTGCTGCTTCTGCTTCTGCAGAGGCGGAAGGAAATGGCGCCGCAGTCGAAGCCTTACCTGCAAAAGATACAGTGGAGGATAGGTATGCCTAGCCATGTTTTGTCTTGTTTGGATGAGATGATTAAAATACACATTTGCCCAGACCCGATCCACACGGGTTTGCAGCTCGAATGATGGCAAAGTGGGGTCACAAAGAAGGACAAGGTCTTGGTGCGGAGGGCCAGGGAATCGTTAACGCTCTTACGGTCGAGAAGGTCGTGCAAGAGGCCGAAGGAAAGGCGAAAAAGGGACCGATTAAACCGAAAGATCCTGTTGGAATGGGTGTATCTCGGGGACGAATAATCAACGCAAACGAGGATGCAAAGACTCGGGAGGATCTTGCTCGGTTCGGACCACCGAGCCGTGTCGTCGTGCTCACTAATATGGTTGGCCCGGAGGATGCAGAGGACGATGAGTTAAGGGAGGAGATCGGGGATGAGTGTTCGAAGAATGGAACTGTAAACCGAGTGCTCGTGCACCTCGTTGAACCTCCGCCAGAGAACGAGGAAGATGCCGTGAGGATCTTCGTAGCATTCAATGGACCAGCTGCAGCATGGAAAACCGTACGTGAGCTGGATGGTCGATATTTCGCTGGAAGGATGGTTCAGGCAAGGTACTTTCCTGAGTCTCAATTCAAACAATTCGACTTGAACGCCCCGCTCCCCGAACGAAGTCTTTTTTGACGGGAAGGATAGGGATACAAGCTCTAATTTTGACCTGTTTAGTCTGCTGTTTAGTTTGCTTTGCTATCATTGCAATTTTTATGTTTGATTATGTCGAAGAAAATATAGTACATGATATCTGCAAGATGTAGGAAAGTCGAGCAAAACTCTTAGACTAATCCTGGGACATTAAAATAATTAGGGTATAGCTTCTCCCGAAGCGTTTAGCGCCACCTCCGTGTCTGCGGGCTTCCTCAATCTGCCCTTCACTGTGTCGAGGTAGACCTGTCCGTTCAGGCCTCCTTGAGGTAAGCGACCAAATGGCTGCTGGTCCATCTCTTCTTTTGAAAGATGTGTCATCCATCGGACATATGGTTTTAACTATACGAGACGAGAAGACAATCAGTTGTCTTTCTTTCTGTCGCAGAAGAAAGACGGAAGAGAGGAGGTAAAGGAAGAATGCAAGAAAAAGAAAACGCACGGGTGAATTATTGAGCTCAGACACAGGAGGTGCAACGAACACGCGCACACGTTCGTCAAGTAAGCGGTATGCGTTCGTCCCTCGTCCGAAGTATTTTCCTGGTGCGCCTGTGCGTAGGCCGGGAAGAGAGGCCTGTCGTGTACCTTCATGAATGCAAAAAGAGGACGTTTTTCAGTTAGCTTGAAGGCAAACGGCCGTGTTTTAGAGGGATGTATACCTTTGTAGTAGTCTTTGTTACCGCGCTTTGAGGTGAGAGGCCGCCTTGAGGCTTTGGAGAGACATGCTAGGGTTGGTCTCATCGTTGTGCGTGTCGTAGACGCGTGGTTGAGAGCGAATCAGTCTCAGGCGGCGAAGCGGAAATTGTCGTAAAACGTGTCACGTGAGGTACCAGAAAGAAGATTCGCGCAGAGTCAAGGATCACTTCGTACACTCGTTAAACGCGTTCACGATGGGCAAGAAAGGAGGCGCTAATAGTGGCAGTAGCAATCGAAGAGGTGATGCTCGTGGTAGAGGTCGAGGTGGTTCGAATAATGCACGTTTACGACGAGCTCAGGCTTGGGAGACCGATCTCTCTCGTCCCGATAGTGCAATTGACGTTGTCAACGATTCAAAACATTCCGGAGATGAGGTGGACGAGGAATCCGATAACGTAGAAGTGAATATCGAAGTACCTGTTGCTATGTGGGTATGTGTATCTGGCTGTTACACTAAACATGAATTCAAAGAAATCGGATTGAATTTAGGACTTTGATCACTGCGACCCACGTCGATGCTCAGGCAAGAAACTGGCTCGATTAGGACTTATACGAGACCTTAAGGTCGGTTCTAAGTTTCGGGGTGTTGTAGTTTCGTACGTTTCAGCGACTTTCACGGCTTTCGATTACCGCATATACTAATGTCATTTTTGCTATGGCAGACCAAAGGGTACACAGGTGATCAGTCCTGCGGATCGTGAACTCGTTCAGAGTGGCGGAGTAGCTGTCGTTGAATGTTCATGGGCAAGACTAGAAGAGATTCCATGGCGCAAGATATCAAGTCCGCATGAACGGTTGCGTACGCTAACCATGCTAATATCCATCTGATTGTGATACTTACAATTTGATCTTTGTTTTATTTTGCAGTGCCATATCTGTTAGCAACAAATCAAACAAATTACGGAAAGCCTTGGCGTCTTAATTGCGTTGAAGCGTTAGCAGCAGCTTTTTATATCACTGGTTTCGATATGTATGCGGAGCAGCTTCTTGCACCGTTTGGTTGGGCAAGCTCGTTTTATAAAGTCAATAAGTACGTCTATTTGCTCCCTTTTTTGGATACTGTTTATGTGTTCAGTATTGACGTGTTCTCACAGGCCGTACATCGATCGATACAAGACGTGCACATCAGCCACGGACGTAACCGAGATGCAGGAAACGATCATACGAGAGCTTGAGGAAAGCTATGAACAAAGCCGTCAAGAAAACAGTAAGCTTTGTTCAACTTTACTCAATACTAACCATTCGTCTCGCCTGACTCACGTTCGATGGACTTTGCCAGATGACACAGACGATCTTCTAGTTGCAAATCCTAACCATCAGCAATTCAGCACGGAGGTGTCGGACTCCGATGATGAGGAACCTCCGCCTCCCGACTCTAACTCTGAGACCTCGGGCAATGACAGATAGCGAGAGGTTCACAACGCCCAGCCACCCATTTCATCTCTGGTCCGTGAATGTTCCCTATCAATAGACGAGCGGCCATTCCCTTGATTGTATCGAATGCGAAGACAAGACAGGTGTCCTAAATGATCAAAACGTCTCTAGCACGTTCTCTAGCCGGTAGCTATTTATAACGCCGGATCATGTATAGTAGGACATCACTTCTACACGTGGAGCTTCCAAGTCGTCCACTCCAAGGAAGAAAAATGCGGCTCGGCGCTTACTGTAGTACTTGGTCCTTAGATTTCATTGCCTCTCCCACTTTGTGTACTAGCGATTTGTTAGCTTCCGACGTGATCGTGAAAAAGTAGGTACCTACGAGTATCCCGAAATCATGATGATGCCACGATGGCGTGGATAAAATTGGTCGACGAAAGGCGGATTAGGACAAATATAGGTATTAGGTATTAGTCGTTAGCCGTCAGCGGGCCTCGACTCGCTGTTAGCACCAACCCCCGATGATCTAATTAAAACCCATCATGTGCATCTCCCTCCCGAGATAAAAGGACGAGTGGAATTTGTAATATCACATGAGTTGCTGAAATAAAATTGTCCGTATGTTGTCAAAACCACATGGAGACGGAGAAGCTAGGAGTTTCGCTGCGAAATGCGTGCCACCAGCCCGGTGGGAAAAAGAGCATGTCCCCTTCTTCGAGGACAGCACTCATTGCAACGGGAACAACCTTTTGCAAGAACTTGGGTTCCTTCTGAAGGTCGGAAGTTGGTGCGAAAACGTCTAACTGGGATGTGTTACTCAGCATCGAATTCGTTGTGCCGATTTCAGTGGGGTTATGATGCTGTAGCAAGGGCGGAGATGAGACGCCGGAATTGAGGCTCTCAGAAACTGGAGAGAGTATGTCTGAAACGCTTGGTGGAGCGAGCCATACTGTTTTACGACCTACGACTTGAGCTGGTTTGCGAATAAGAGCTACAATCGGCTTGAAAGCAATGAAAATCTGTTAGCTTACTGTATAAATTAAAATATGGATCCTGTAAGATTCGTCAGAAAGAAGCATTTAGACGTAATTTAAGGTTGATTTGTAAGATGTCGACTTGCCGTGTGGGCAGGAGATATGGTATCCCGAGGTCCGAACCAAGCGTTCAGAACGAGTTCCTCGTCGTTAGCCGGCGGCCGATATTGTGGGTAGTGGTCTGGAGGAGATAACGATGCATAGATGTAGTCTGGAATGACAATATCCCTCCTTAGAGAGTGGAACTGCTTGAATAAATCGTACTGAGCGAGATAAAGCACTTTCGTCTGATCAATTTTGTCTAAGTCAGGATTTTCGTTTGAATCCGTGTCACTGAATAAATAATCAAGAAATTCATCCCAACCCATCATGCGTTGCGTCCAGTCTTCAGTCCGATAATCGCGTCCGATCTCAACTGGAACAATGCGTCCTCTACCTGCAGCATTGTGTAAGTATGATTTAGAAGCCCATTTCCGCCTGCATATAGCCGGCCAATCATTAGCAAACCGACGCAGAATAAATGGTGTTCGGCTATGAGCAGCCCGAAATGCTGACACTGAGGGCGGGCTTGAAAGGACTGGCACGGGCAGACATGCACCTGATATTTGTGGATCATCCCGCGCTGTGTCTTGACCTGGCGGAACCGGAAGGTTTGTATCAAATGGAGAATGATTACGCGCGAGGTACACAATCTGGATTTGTTCGATCGTGTCTAGGACGAGATCAAGCCTGCCTTCGCCGGGAGCACCTGCGATGACGATTGAATGATCGAGCCGTCCGACAGCTTCTGTCCAGAAATTTTCGTTTTTGATCGGTTGTGATTTGCGTTCGGAGAGAATATCAAGCAAGGTCCAGACAAGGGCTGCGTCTGTGTATAGTCTCCGCCATGAAAGGTTTTGAATAGGATCATTGTGCGTTTCTCTCATCTTTGTATGTGAAGAGGAGCACAGTTCCGAAAGCTCCTTTGCGTAGTCTTGGGATTGTCTGCGCATTGCGGCATGTAGCGTGACTAAATTTCCCCGGCCACAAGGCGCCAGCGCTAATTCAAATATTTTACGGAGTTAAAGTGAGTAATAAATAAGCATAGGGATTGATTGGAGCAAACTGTATACCAGAGCACTCCATGTGACCGTTGTGAAGCTCTTCGTCGATTGTAGCTAGAGCGGCTAGCGCAAAGTCTGTCAACGAGGCCATCGAGTCATGGACGCACGGACGAAACTGGCGAGCTGGGAAGACGATGTGCACGCGCGAGTCCACAGCAGATTCCGTGGCTGTGCGGCCAACATTATCCAGACTTCTGCGCTAAACCAAAAATGGCAGTCGATTGATGCGGCGTGACGTCGGTTCGAAATGCATAAAAAGAGACGTGATAAAGAGGCGCGTCGCCGCGATAGACGTGAGAAAAATCCCCCATCTTGCCAGACACGCCCTGCATTCTCGTCCGGCGCTTCGGCCCGGACATTCCCGACATTTTTTATAATGACTTCAAGGTTGGTCAGCATTTCCCTTCCTTTCTGGGATGAAGACGGTTTAGAAAACTGAATGGCCTTTTTGATATGTGCCACCGTAATGCAGGTTAGACAGACTATTAATTCTGCTGGACACCGGGTCGTCGACCTCGGTGCGCACGACGGCAGCAAAGCAGCTCGCGCAGCTTGCAGCCAAGAGCGTCAGAAGTGACGTCGGCGGGGACGATGTAAATATTATCTGTTTGCACGGCTCCCTAGATGATCCCTCTGCTTGGGCTGAACTTATGTCCGTCGTTGCTCGAGTATGTTATATTTATCCAAACCTTATTTTGTAATTCACGTTATATTTACACTCATGATTAATGCTAGGTCCTTCCTTATCTACACTCACGATCTTACGAAACACGATCAGCTGCTTCAGTAGCACTATCTCAAATATGCTCCCTCGTTCCTCTCTGGCAACCTCCAGGATTAGATGAGGACTCGAAAGATGCCGCCTCGTTACCGCCTCCCGAGTTTTCAAATTTTTCCGTACGACAGCTCATGGAGAGCAAGACTCGCCTTCTCGCGTCGTCTGGGAAAGAGTTCTCCAAACCTGCCGGCATTTTTCAAAACATCGCCGAAGTACGGAAAGCCCGTAAAGAGGCTATGGGACGATTAGGCTTAGGCTTCCTAGACGTTGCTGACGACGATGAAATGGACCTTGACAAGGAGCTCGCTGCGGCGGACGAACTTAATGTTGATGCGGAGATGAAAGTCAGCACTCCAAAGGATGAGCCAAGTAGTCAGCAAGGACTTGGTTCACCTACAGAGCAGCAAAAGAAGGACGCACCTCCCCTGGAGCGTTTGAAGTCGAGTACGCCCGTCGCGTCCGAAGACGAACTGGCTGGAATGTCGGCTCGAGAACGTAACAGATTAAAGCGAAAACGAAAACCGGGAAATGCTGCTTTTGTATCCGCCCCTCCACCACCGCCAAACGGTTCCAAGTACAGCGCAACCCCTGCAGGCGGGTCGTCTGCAAAGTAAGTCTATTGAAAGATGCTAACTTTCAAATTGGTTAACGCTTTTCATAGAGCTCGTCTTGTTTCCTCTGACGGAACAGCACAGAAGTCTCGTGTTGAGGACTCCAAATCAGGTGTTGCTCAGGACAAGGTCGTGGTTGATCCTACAAAAGGAGGTGCCGTTGAGGCGAAAGCTGCACAACAGTCAAAAGCCCTCGAAGTTCAGCCAGGTGTATGGGTCTGGGATGGTGTAGTCAAAGTGCTTGAAGTTGATCTCTTCAGTCCCGCATGGGAGGTACGCCATGGTGCAGCCTTAGCTCTGCGAGAAGTTATTAAAGCCCAGGGCAAGTGCGGAGGCATGAGAGGTAACTCATTTTTCTCGCTTCTCCGTCGAGAATTAACTAATATCCTTGATCTCGACCAGCCGACGCATCAGCCGCTGAAAACGCAATCAATCACGAACAATGGTGCAATGCGCTTGCTGCGAAGTTCCTCTGCGTCTTCGTGCTCGATCGATTCGGAGATTTCGTTTCTGATCAGGTCGTCGCACCTGTTCGAGAGACAGTCTCGCAAACGCTTGCCTCCCTGCTCATCCACATGCCGCGTCGCTCGGTCTTGCACGTTCACGACATCCTCCTTCAAATGATTAAGCAAGACTTTGCCCTAGAGCATCCCTTACCAGACGCTAAAGTCGCCAAGGGTGTCAATGATCAGCAAAATGGTCATGGCACTCAGTATGTGTGGGAAGTCAGACATGTCGGCTTACTCGGGATCAAGTATGAGGTTGCGGTACGCTCTGATCTTGTGGACGAACATGTGGTGAAGGAGGAAGGTGTTGAAGGACTTACGAGTGGAAAAGATGTCCTTCGTGGTATTGTGGATGCCGCCGTACTGGGGTAAATAGCATGCATGACGGTTTTGTAATATTGCTGACTCTGTCTGTTCCTTCCTTCGTCTCCAGGTTAGGAGACTCTGACGATGACGTTCGAGCCGTCGCCGCGTCGTGCTTGCTCCCTATTACGTCCCAGCTCGTTGGCCAGTTACCAGAAGAGCTTCCGAGAGTATTAGCCGTTTTGTGGTCTTGTCTTGGTGACATGAAAGACGACCTTAGCTCGAGTGTTGGAGTTGTAATGGACCTCCTCGGAAAGCTGGTCGGTTTCGACAAGGTCATCGAAATTTTGGCCGCTCCGGACAGCTTGTACGTAAAACCTATCTTACCGAGTCTCTTCATATACTCAAGCAGAAATAGCAAACCTTTGACAGATCTAGCTCCTACACTGTTTCCCTTCTTCCGACATACGATCGCATCTGTTCGCCTCGCCGTTGTCAATACCTTGCATTCGTTCTTGAAAGTTCCTACTTTGCCTAATGAATGGATCAATACTGCATTCCTTCGACTGTTGGTACAGAACTTGGTTGTCGAAGAGCGAGCCGACGTCCGACAGGCAACACTGGACGTTTGGTGGACTGTTCTTGAAGTGGTTCGTACTGTGGATGGATGGATGATGGCTCTGGTAACTCCACAGACACTTTTGGAGTGGTACGCACTTGCCATGACGCCTCTTGGTGTGCCGATCGACCCCGCAACTCTGTATCATCCATCTGTGGGCATGCAAAACGGCAATGGACCTGCACCGGAACGACATAACGTCGACAAGAACATGCTTGCACAGGATCTGACGCTCGTTCCCGTTGAGGTTATCCTGCGTGGACGCGTCGCAGCTGCAAAAGCTTTTGCATGGCTCTGCGTAACGTGGCCGGAATCAGGCCAGAGGCATGATGAGATGTTCCGTCCAATGCTCGGACATTACATTCAATCACCGAGCATGTTGCAGAAGTTCTTAGCGGCAGTCATTGTCGAAGAGTGGTCGCATAAATACGACGAAATGCCCTTGCCACCGGGTGTTGAGAAACACGAATTATTGGTGAAAGAGTCGACGTTGGTGATGGAGGTCTCAGATGAAATACTGCGGTGGTTACAGGCAGATCCTCCTGTGGCGTATCATGAGATGGCAATTTCTCTTGGTAGAATTTTCAACGAGTGCAATGCGCTTCTGCAATCCTTTATGCAAGATTGCAAGGTCTCACCGAAGGCAATTCCGTTCTTGGGTGCGACGATCGATATTCATGGTACGGAAGAAGGCGCATTCTCGATTGCCACTGCCCAGCAAGTCATCGGACCGATCTTCACCTCGCTCAAAGAAGGCCTTGGACGAACGAAGAAGAAGGAATTGATTTCTTTGCACGAAAAACGAGTTCGCTTGGAGGCGTCAATCCAACATTATAATCAGGTTAAGACTCAGCACGACGTTCGGGTGTCTGCGGCCTTTGCTGGTGCATATGTCTCGCTCAAGATTCTGCCTGAGAAAGTTTCGCCAATTGTGAAAGGAATCATGAACGGCATCAAGGTTTGATCTCTTCACTAGCCAATTTGTCGTTTACTGACGACAAATTTCAGAACGAAGAGAATATTGACTTGCAAGCGAGGTCTGCTTCAGCCGTTGCCACATTTGTGTCGACGTGTACGGCTATGAAGATTGCCCAGCCTCCCGAGAAGATCGTGAAGAACTTGTGTACCTTCCTCTGTCAGGATGTGGGACAGACGCCTGCATTCGCACTGACTAAACAACTGGAGAAATGCATTTGGTCAGCAAAGGCCATTTTAGCAAGCGAGTCGCAGACAGCAAATGGGAAAGGTGCGAAGATCGCGCAAGTGGATTTCCCGTCCGAGGCGGACAAAGCGAGGATTTCACGAAGAGGTGCAGAACTTGCCTTCGGGGCGCTGTCATCAAAGTTTGGCGAGCAGTTGTTCGCCCAGGTCCCCAAGATGTGGGAGTTTATGGCTGGCGGTTTGTTGGCTACGTTCCAAACAGGCATGTCTGTACAAGTTTTCTTTTATAATCCGATTCTTATATTTTCGCAGATTTTACCGTTCGTGATGCCGATAAACTCATGGACAAGCAAACGGGTCAGGACGTGATCGACTCGCTGAGTGTCTTGAAAGTTACCGCTACTACCCTGCATGAAGGGCTTCACGATCATTTAGTCGAGCTGCTACCGAAGCTGAGCCTCGCCCTACGGAGTCGATATGCTATCATTCGTCAATGTACCGCGAAGTGCTTTGCAACGATTTGCAGTGTAATTACGGTACAGGCGATGAAATATGTTATTGAAGAGATCACCCCTTTCCTGGGAGATGCCAAAATCACAACTAACCGACAGGGCGTTGTTGAGTTGATCTATCGTAAGTTCCCCTACTCGTATGATTTTAATGCGCTGACACCCTTACAGATGTAGTACAGGAACTTGACATCAAGGCTCTACCTTATGTTATTTTCTTGATTGTACCCATACTTGGACGAATGAGCGACACGGATAATGATATCCGAACGACTGCTACGAATACTTTTGCAGCCTTAGTGAAGATGGTCCCTCTTGAGGTTCGTCGTATCATATACTCACTCGGTGCTTGTTGATAACGTTTCTATAGGCTGGACTTCCAGACCCTCCAGAGTTTTCTGAGGAGCTGCTTCGCCGTCGTCAGGAGGAAAGGATGTTCTTAACGCAACTTTTAGACGGGAGCAAGGTCGAGCAGTACAATTTGCCAGTGAAAATAAATGCCGAGCTACGAAAATATCAGCAGGACGGAGTCAACTGGCTTGCTTTCCTCGCCAAATACCAATTACATGGCATCCTTTGTGATGGTGAGTCATATAACAACAGACAAATATTTGCCGTTATTGACACAATCCTTGCAGACATGGGTCTTGGAAAGACACTTCAATCAATTTGCATTTTAGCTAGCAAGCACTTCGAGCGTGCAGAGCGATACAATGCGACTCAGTCCCCTGACTCGGTTCATTTGCCTTCCCTTATCGTTTGTCCTCCGACTCTTACTGGCCATTGGTACTATGAAATCCTCAAGTACACGGAGACCTTGAAACCCCTCATGTATGTGGGATCAGCGCGAGACCGTCAGCGGCTCCTATCGAAGTTCCCCGCCTACGATATCATTATTACGTCTTACGAGGTAGTCAGGAACGATATTGCGAACCTACAGAACCTGAACTGGCATTATTGCATTTTGGACGAAGGTCATGTTATCAAGAACTCAAAGACAAAGCTGACAAAGGCGGTCAAGCAGATTCGTTCTAACCACCGTCTTATCCTCTCTGGGACACCTATTCAGAACAATGTTCTCGAATTGTGGAGTTTGTTCGACTTCTTAATGCCAGGGTTCCTTGGCAGCGAATATTCATTCAACGAGCGATTCAGCAAACCAATATTATCGAATAGGGACGGCAAGTCCAAGAATGATGAAGCGGCGGCCCTTGCACTCGAGGCGCTCCATAAGCAGGTCTTGCCGTTCCTCCTTCGGCGTCTCAAAGAGGATGTCTTGAATGATCTACCACCGAAGATCATTCAGGATTATTATTGCGAGCTCTCAGACATGCAGAGGCTTCTTTATGACGAATTTGCGAAATCTCATGCCGCCGACTCGGCTACAGATCTTGTCCAGACTAGTAACGGCGATGTCAATAAAGGTCCTGGACAAAAGCATGTTTTCCAGTCACTTCAGTACCTGCGAAAGCTTGTCAATCATCCGGCGCTGATTCTAAAAGACGACCAAGAATCTATTAAAGCGGCTTTGGAGAGGGTACAAGCTAAGGACACCGTTGAGGGCCTGCGAGATATAACACATGCACCGAAGTTATTAGCACTCAAGTAAGTCATTGCAGATTCTTTGAATAAGCTGTTTATCCGATCGTCTAACATTGCTGTTCAGACAAATCCTTCTTGACTGTGGCATCGGTACAGGAGCAGCTGCGAGTGTCGATACGACGGGTAAAAGTGAACTCCTCGAGACGGAAGACACTTCCGCAGGAGTCTTCTCGCAGCACCGCGTACTCATCTTCTGCCAATTGAAGCAGATGATCGATATTATCGAATCGGATCTCTTCAAGAGGCACATGCCGAGCGTAACGTACATGCGCCTTGACGGCGGGACAGATCCAAATAAACGACATGCAATTGTGCAGACCTTCAATGCAGATCCTAGTATTGATTGTCTTCTATTAACAACGCATGTGGGTGGTTTGGGTCTGACTTTAACTGGCGCGGACACGGTCATATTCGTGGAGCACGATTGGAATCCGATGAAGGATCTCCAAGCGATGGATCGTGCACACCGAATTGGCCAAAAGAAAGTAGTGAATGTATACCGCTTGATTACGAAAGGTACTTTAGAAGAGAAGATTATGGGGTGCGTTCTTTCCGGACTTTCCGTCATCTTTGAGCCTTCATACTAACAATACCACCAATCTCAGCTTGCAACGTTTCAAGCTCAACATAGCAAATTCAATAGTAACACAGCAAAATGCGGGGCTAGAGTCCATGGACACCGATCTAGTACTTGATCTCTTCAAGCGGACGACGCAGGAGGAAGATGCTGCTGCGGCCAAAAAGCGGAAGGAGAGAGAACGAAGCGGGCAATTCGGTCAAAAGAATATCCTCGAGGGTCTCGAGGACCTCCCCGCGGAGGAGGAATACGAGAGCCTTACTCTGTCAAGCTTCATGGGTTCACTTGGACAACAATGAGCTTTAGAGATAACCCCTCCTTTTCTGTCTGGCACTGCCACCATTTAATATCCTTATTCACATTTTATCCTCCCACTTCACATTTGATTATTCATCTTCACAACGGCTTGAATGCAATTTTTTACTCGCTTTCGCACGCATGCTATGAGACTTGTATAATTCTGTGGGATATATTGTAGCATCAATGATAAGTAATATTTTCTGCGTTACTCGTCCCTCTATATAGTACAAGTGAGTAAGGAAGGGAAAGATCGTCATCTGAAAATGTCGATTGAAAGCATCGAACCCAATTAGAAAAGCATGTATGGCCCTCCAGGTCGTTGAGGTGGCTTGGATCGTAAGATACGGCGACGTAAACGAGGAAGAGAAAACACGAGTAATAGTCCACCTACGCCGACAAGAATACCCGCGATAGTTCCCACGATGGCCCCAATGCTCATTGATTTGGATCCGCCTGAGGGCGACTGAGGATCAGTCGTGTCATCGGATGCACCGGAATCAGACGACGAAGGTCCATTGGCTGACGTAGTTGAATTTTGACTGAGGCACGAGGTGTCCGAACCCTGACTAACGAAGAACTGGGAAGATTGAGCAGAGACGACACCCGAGTGAGCGGTATCTGACGCAAGGAGTGTGTACGTGCCCTCGGGGACGTTAACCTGTGACCACGAAATAACACATGTACGTGCGTCGATAGTCGTTGAGAGCGTCCTCTCGACGAGTGGTGGCGCGGACTGATTTGGCGCGGGAATTTGAGATGAAACGGCACGCTCATTGGTGACTACTATAGTCAACGGGACAGATGTGTTCGAGTTGAACTCCCACGTAAATAACGCTGGAGAACATGTTGTCACGTTTCCGGGAGGCGTGAATTGGAGGGCCCCGGAGGGGACGGCCGAGGCAGATGATGAGGAACTGGCCGGAGAGGAAGCGGAGGGATTGGTGGTTAGAGTTGAAGTCGCAAGAATCGTTGATGTTGTTTGTGGTGGTGGCGGAGATGCCGCCGTCATCGCAGGTGAAGAGGATGAGTGGTCATCATCGCCGCCATCGTCGTCGGGAATCTGACCGTCGTGCTTCGCCCATACGATCAAGGCAAGAAGTAGAAGCCTAAGCAGGACTACCGAGGCTGTCATTCGTCGTCGGCTGAGGAGCGTGATATTTGGAGTCAATTCAAGCACGGCGGTTGGAATAGACAGGTGGCTGCGTGCTGGAGCATTCGGTGGAGAAACATGGTACCCACCAACTATTATTACGGGCCTGAATTGCAAGTTGCAGGAGAACCAAGGCACAATTGAACAAGTCTGCAATGCCTTGAAAATGCAATGCCTTTAAGATGTGATGTCTTGAAGACTACCGACGATTAGATGGGAAGGGTTAAGTAGGCCGTTTAAGAGGAGATGGAAGAGGGAAAGGACACGACGTGCGACAACCCCGTCTACATTTCTTGAGCTCCTGAATCGCGCGTGAGTAAATACCAGCTTTCGGCAGCGCAATTAGAGACAGTGGGAGAATCGACGTGCTCGATATGAACTGCATGAGAAACGGTACGCTGCGTCCCACGAGGCATTCAATTGATTCGCGTGATTTTCATAGAGATTCGAAGATCCCAAAACAAGCCAAAACAGTGGAGCCTACGGTTCGCACTCCAGTAACCAGCGGTATTTTTACTTTTAAAAGAGACGCAGCAGGATTCGAGATTCGAGAGAGTTCCACGCGTAGGCTTGGACGACGTAGCGACCCATGCTTATCACCCAGCGCTTGATAAAGTGCTGCTACGGAGCTCCACAAAAGGTCCATTCCAAGTTAAAGAACGTCATAGCCTGTTAAGGCTTTCGAACCTGTCGTCATAGTCAAATGCCAATGCAAAGGAACTGAATGGACTTCGATCGCACGATAAGTGCGCGATGCCTCCGTTTTGCGGCTTGGGTGAGCTGGCACTTTTTGCGTTCGTCGTTGTTTTTAAATTGAAAATTGCGTTGGCACATGCAGCGAGAGATACAATAGCACATGCAGATGGATGTGTCTGGAACATTTCGGTCTGATAATGCTAAATGCCCATGCTCCTGGGATTTGAGAATCACCGAACTTCGCAGTACACGATGCTTGAAAATACTTGATAAAGGGCTACTTTAGGTTGACAAGGAGCATACGAGATCAGCTTGTCTCCAGTATTTCGGACGCTAGTGTAGTTCCGCGAGAGGTATACCACTTTTCCAGTTGGTTTTGAAGTTGGGTAGAAAGGAAATGGTGAAAAATTAGTTCATGATTGGACAGAAGTCTCGGTCACGTTATTGATATTGCATCTTCGTATCACGTGACTCATAATTACTGCAGACTCTGCAGCTGAAGAAACAACATGAAAGATGTGAATCAAAATCTTCATGCCTTGAAGGAAGGAGGAGACTATGCTTCTAAATCCAGGATCAGTGTGTGTATGTATGAAAGCTAGGTTAGGAATGTCAAAAGGTCTAAGCATAATCGGTACATCATAATTACCAGTCATTTTTGCTTACTAAGTGTCATCCGGCAATGCACTTCAGATTCACCCCACACAGCATCTTGATTAGTTTCTTAATAAAGCCTAGGAATTACATGTAGAAAGGACATAAGCGTGAGCACTGGAAGGAGTTAGAGCCCATCCATATTGCTTATAGATAAAGATTTGTGCTACCACCCACAGCTGATACAGTCATGTAAGTGTCAATAAACTTCTCAACGGAAATACATGATGTACTCTCACGCATATGTTCCTTGCCTTTGATCTTTGTGCTTCGCCCACTAGCTTATACTCACTAGTTATCGGCTCTGATTCATGCACAATACAGATTTCGACAAAGAGAACACAAGTATGCTGTACCTGAATTACAAAAGAAAATGGAAAGAAAGCCGCAAAGTTTGATCTAATGAGCAAAAAGCCCATTTCTGCTTGGGGTATTGACGATAAGGGCACAGATATCAAGAGGGTTATATTAGAACTATCGATTGTACCTTCCTTATCCCCAAAGTACTGTTATTAACATTGAATCTTAGTCATAAATCATTCTCTCCCGCGACACATTCTGCCTCCGAAGTGAATCTTATCATTCACACTTCCCTGCCAGTTTCCAAGAATAAAGAGACAAAAACTTCGTCCCTTCTTGGCATCCTAAAAACTAACCGTAGTTCTCGCAGATCGATTTATTTAACGTGGAGTAAGAGCAAGAAGATTTAAAGAATTAGCTCAGCTTACTCACCCCTTGAAGCCACCAATTCCATCTTTTGCTTTTCTGATACAGAAATGGAAGAAGGCTACAACGTGGTAGTGGTAGATATTTCCGGAAAGATTACTTTGTGAAAGGCCAATATGAGAGCGTTGATTTCCCAGAGGAGGGTAACTTTTAAGGGAACGTTCCCTGCCTGTATGCCTTCCCGCACACAAGGGTTGTACATAATTCGCGCTTGTCCCTTAGTTAAATACCAAAAGGATATAACAAAGGACAAGGGTGATAAGATTTGGTTCCGGCCGTCTCTGTCGGCATGAGGCCAAACATTGCCTGACCCAGATTTGCATTTAACCTTCTTAGCCTGCGCATGACACCGTCGATCCTTCCGCTTATCGAGATCTTTTTTGTGGCCGCCACCCGAGTCGCCCTCAAGAGAGGATTACATACTTGTACACAGCAATTTACGGCATTTTTTTCGCTTCAGCACATGCAAACATGCAGTCTATCGTTCATATGCATGGATCTTCTAAGGTGGGTACATGACTCGGACGGTAAGAGACATACGTATCAAGCAGCAAGAGCGGAAGCACGGAGGAAAAATGCGGGCGCAAGATATGAATATGAAAAATGGAGCCGCAGATCAAAAATGGAATGGTGGCTTTGCCAAGTCATGATATGAAGAGCGTCGATCACAATCATCATTGATATTAACATTGTTGCAGTTATGAATGCATATGCCGTTCCCTCAACGCATGGTACAAATTCACGCACGGTTCGCTGCTAGAGCTGCCATCGCCACTAGCAGGACTGTCAGGTTCGTCATCTAGTGCAGGATCTGGCGGGCGCACGAGGTCCGAGAAGTCCTCGTCGGAGTCAATGTCACCATCCCACGCACGGAAATATTCATCCGTAAACTTCGCCTCGTCAAATGTGAAGTCGAATCCAGGCGCTTGGGGAGGCGGCGGCCGATGTCCCGAGCCGACCCGCTGAGGCGTCCGGGAGCGTGCACCATGTCGCCCTGATCCTGGGCTAGGGCTGTTCTCGGACCGCCGGCGTGGTGACATTTCGAGTCGCATTAGCGTAGACTGTAGCACGGCTGTTGGATCGTCTCCGGATCGTCCAGATGAAGCTCTTATTTGTCTTTCCGTCGGAGTAGAGGTCCCTGCGTCCTCTCTGGATGGCGTGAATCCACTGTAATACGTTAGTCTGGTGACGTGGCTCTAGAATATCAATAATCCACTTACGAATACATGTACGGAACCCAGGCCTTGTTCTGCTCAAGGTGGCAGATCTGCAGAGTTAACGTATCACCGCGTTTGACAATCTGGACCAGTGGGGCAGGGAAATATGTCGTAAACGATCTTAAAGACGTGCTTGAAGTATCTGAATCGTCTAAAGCGGATTCTAAGTTCCCTTCAAGATGTCAGAACGCCACCCAACATCAACGCACCATCAGGATCATATCTCCGCAAAACGAGGATTCGTCGCCCGGCGATCCTTTCGACTTCGTATTCTCCATAATAGGTTTCGTCCACTGTCCGTCCTGTATCAAAATATGCCTCTTGAACATAGATGGCATATTCTTCCATGATTCGATTGACCCGCGCCGTCCGGTTTAGGTCATCTGCGAGGGCCCTGCATTCATCAAGCAAATAGCTCACATCACTCTGCGTAAAGGCATGTATACTAGCCAGGAAATGGATCAACGAGCGAAAATTATTCCCGATCCGCGCTGTCGGTGTTTTGAGCTTGCCAGCGTTCTCATCAAGTGTAAATTTTACTGCGATATGATCCACTGGTAGTTAGTTTTGATATGGACAAATAGGAGTATGAGGGATAAAGCAAATACACCATTAAGAGACCAAGCAAGATCATCTACCCATCGGGCAAGAGTGTCGGCAGATATACGCTCTGTCTCAGTGTAGTCCGGTTCTCCTAGTAAAATACAACACCTTCTATTTAAGATTGGGAATGGAAGAACAAGAGATTAGCCTTACCAGAGCTTTTCGAGCTGAACGACCGCATAGCCCTTGTAAATTTAGCAGCTGATCTGTGTTCCTCAGGTGAAAGCGTCTCTTCCACATGAGCAAGCCAAGCCCTAAATGCATTTGCAAAAGTTCGGTTCTACAAACCGCATTATAAGGATCAGATTGCCTCATGATGGTAGTAGTTAAGCAGTGCCACTGCTGATACATACGTGCTCGAATGCGATCAAAGCATCATGTGCATAGGCTCTTTTCTGTTGATTGGTCTTCTGCCGGCTGCGTTTCTTTGCACGAGTGGATGAGGAAGCAGGAGTGCTAGCAGGATGAGCTGCGTCTGCCATTGCACATGGCGTAGATAGAAAGAGGGAAGTTGGGAAGCAAGCACGCCCAGCGTTCTTTTGTATGGGGAGTAAAAGGCGAACGAGAGTGGAGGCCAAATGAGTAAAGAGGCGCCGAATGAATAGACTGAGAGGCTTTCTGAATCTAGCCGGGGAGCTTATATGGATTATGACACGTGCCACGCGGAGGACTCGGGCCCATGCGTTGAACTTGAAAGGCTTTATACACGAGTACTGATACAGTTGAAAATGTCTTATTGCATAACGTTGGGAGAGGGCTAAACCCAATGCATTATACAATTTATGCATTATGACAATACATTTTGGCTGAGGACCTGAGTTTTGGTCTGGCCAAAAGTCTATGCATTATGCCATTTATGCATTATGATGTGATGCAATAAGACATTTTCAACTGTACTGGCCTGTCCATAGGCCCTTTATTGCAAGCAATTCGCTCCCTCCGACCGGCAGATATTGATCATTATGACAGTCCCTCAGTTACTAGGACACATCTTTCCCTGTGGACCATTCCACCTTCACTCCCGCCTCTTCCCTCTTCTCTCTTCGGCTCATCAGCTTTCTGATATCATTTTCCGCATGCTCTCCCCTTCCACTTCCGCGTTCCTCTCCTCTTCTACTACTACTCAGCAATCACCCATGCTGTGGCTCAAACGAATACAATTTCATGTGAATGAATGCTGTGTTGATCAGATCATAATTATAGTGACGCCGCCAATGTAGCATTCATTGCATCAGCTATACGGAACAGAGAAGCCCGGGAGTCAAACGCGTAAAAGTAGCAGATGCGCACCATAACGTCAAGTGACGTGCGCACCTAGGGGCACCCTAAATCCATTTTCTTAACGAGCTCCAAAGCACCCCGTGGCCAGCACCTCCCGGAACAGAAGCCGCGGTATGAACCAATTTACGCACATTTATTGCTCCCTCACGGTACCTTTCGAGTCAACAAAAGAGCCTAGCGCGGCGATGTTGGACATAAAGTAGCTCCGCGGTAACGCGCGGTATTTCTCCTGTACTTGGGAAGCGCGTACCCATGGGCCCTTGCATATCGGAAAACAGGCGCACTACAGTCCGAACGGCGACAGAAGCGGCATCCCATTTGATATATGGTAGGTGTGAAAAATAACTAGCACAAGCTCTAAAGACTGTCGCATGACCGACTGCATTCCGTGGGTTGCGTTTTGAAGACGTTATTAGACAAAGTTCACAGAAGCCATGCCGTTATCTGCCGTCGGACTTTGAAGGTGATCAGCGGGATTCAACCTTGAGTGCATTGCGGTCAGTGTCCGGGTAAAACATGACTGAAAAGTTTGTCTGTCTGAATTGAACACTTGCCAAGAAAAATGACGGAGTCACCGGAGAAAGACATAAGTTATGGTTTTAGCAAAGCATCAAACATCAACGAGCCTCTATTTCTGTCATGATATTGCGTAGGTGACTTGCTCTAGTTTCCCGCTCTCGTAACCAGATATCAATCGTACCAAGTCGGACTCAAAGGAAGCGCCCAAGAAAGATTGACACTTTCCGATAACTTGCTCTGATCACCGCTCGGCTACAGGATAAGGCATTGATCAACCAACCGATCGTCATTGAAAATTTTAGATGAGTACCCCCAGGGTCCAACAGGGGGTGAGAGCGGCGCAGAGAGCAAGACAAGTGAAGGGGATTGATCTGAGCGTTTGAATTATGCGAAATCCATCAGAAAGAGGAGGATGCTCCATGCGATGTCGTACAGATTCCATTCAAGGTTTGTAATACGCTCAGTAGTTCATGTGGCATGAGAACGGGAGGGATTCTTCCTTCGGTTTGCGTAACGCAGCTCGGGATTGCCCGTCGAAGTCGCCCAACTTGTGGAGTAGGGGACGAATCTCTGTAAATTGGAACCACTATCATACGCGCTATCACCATTGCCATTGACGAACTTGGGTGCCTCCAGGAAAGTACTTTTCTCGAGCATCGCGACTCAAAATATGTACTGCAAAATCTCCTGCGTCAAGCATTCCCCAACCGTCCTGTATGCGGCGCTTTTTATTCGGTGGAAGGACTACTGGGGTCTCGGCCGTGAGCAACTGGTCAAAGCCAGTCCTGCATAAGCCCATTGCTATTAATAAAATTAAAGAATCTAGATGCTTACAGCTTTTCGGACGACTCGCATGACAGATTCAATCGCGCCGCGGTTCTCGGTACCCTCTTTCACCTGATCAAGGTGCTCGTCTGAGTGCCTTGCACGACGGTGGTCAGATAAGTCAACGTACCTGAGCAATCACAATCCATCTCCAGAGTGTGCCACCGTTATCTGGGACTCCTAAACCGATATCTGTGCGTCCCCTCCGTCGCCTTCCTTTAGGTAGAGCACTTGGCAAACTCGGACCCGCTTCGGATGCAGGAGGAGGGCGGATCTGCACGCCTCCCCTCTCAACATGAGGCGAGCGTGAGAGTTCGGAGTGAAGCTTATTTAGGTGAGGTGGCAAGTCGGGTGGTAATAAAGTTTCTTGCGGGGGATTTGGAGAAGCTGAATGAGGTGGGTGTGCTCGAGTCGGCAAATACTCCTGGTCTACGAACCAAGGTGTTGGGGTATTTGGCGCTGATGATAAACATACCCGGCGCGCCGTATTTACGTCTTTCACAGAGAGTACATGTCGCCGGAGCAATCTAAGCATAATGAGTGGATGAGGATAGTTTATTCGGTCCAGGTCAGATACTATGAAGAAAGTACTTAGTAGAAAGGGACAGGAAGCCGTGACCGTGAGAGAGCTGACTAATGCATTGCGACTTGTTGTGGGTCCAAGTGTATGCACTTGTTTCTATTAGCGATTGCAACGATACAAGACCAGCGACACAATCGGAATTCGCAACGAAGGAAATTGCATTGAACCCAAGTAGCCCATCCTTTAATGTAGGGTTACCATCATGCAATATTGCTTTAGGAATTTATCAGGAGTGGAGAAGGTCGAAGACAGTGCGAACTTGATGAAATTTAAAGGGCTCAGCGGTATACGTATGACGACAACAAAACAACTTATATAAGATAAAACAGATGTAAATATGACTCAGATTTTTGCAAAATTATCCTTCCGAACGATATAAATACTCAAGCTGCAGCAGGACCCATCTGCATCGGCGGCTGCTCCTGAGAAGAGACGTCTTCGATGAGTGCACCCGGCCAGAAATATGTGTATATAGCTGTGGCGAAGAATAATGGGATAGTGTCCAACGTGTAGAAGGTTACTAAAATGATAGTCGAACTTCGTGAGATTTCTACGTCGCTTAATGCAAATGGGATGCGTACCTTCATGTGTTAAAAGATACCCGTCATTCCCTTGCGCGAGTTCGACAACTCGATACGTAGCCCGGATCTATTAAAGGTACATCGGAGTCAGAATGCTTGACCAAATAAAGGATGAGAGGTAAATTACTTACAATAATGAAGACAGAGGAAATATGAAGAGCCGTCATAAGGCTCCAAGGGAAGTTGTATTTGTCGAACTTCCCATCATTGCAGAACACACGGTGTGAATGGATGAGAAGGAACCAGAAGACGACGTAAGAGAGTGCCTGCACAATGATACCGGCCAGCAAGATGACGCGGCCAGCATTGGCTGAGTCCTCTTGGGCTTGTAAACCACCGCCACCGCCCTAAGCGACATGTTTAGTCGACATTTCATACCAATTACCTCTCAATCGTACCTGAACCATGAAAGTCACCACATCGCTAATGATAAATATCCTCGCCACTTTCTCAGGTCGAATTAAGCTATAGCGATCCCTACTCGTGGCGAATGTACGTATGAGCCTGCCGTACACAATATAGTTGAAGGCGAGGAATGCTGCAGGTGCTACAACGATGAGGATTTGTGTCGCAATGAACAGGCCAAAAACCGTGGGGTTCTCAGTAGAAGCAAATCGTAGGAAGAATCCGATTGAGAATGCTGAAGGGTTGATGAACATGTAGTTCTTGTACTGTCTGCCGCTAATATCCTGCACTCACCCAACGTTCCGAGGGGCAAGCAAAGTCCCCAACAATTCTTCCTCCGGAATAGACGTATGAATAGGAGGAACGTCACTACAGCGTAAACTGCACCAGCTACCAAAGCCGTTGGTTTACTGGGGTCATATTCTATGTGAAGGGTCAGTCAACATGAGAGGGATCAGCAAGGATTTCCCATTTACGCACTGAAGACCACCTTGGGATAGTTGGTAGGTCCCGAGTCTGAATCTGACGAGGCGTGAGTTAGTGCAGACACTTGAGACAACGGCATAAGACAAGTTCGAAACAGAGGACGTACCTGACATGTTCGTCTAGAGTTGAGTGATTTGGAGGGTATGAAATGGTATCAGTCGTAGTTTTGGGGAATTGAGGTGGATTGACTGACTCTTGGCAGCCTCTTTTATACAGGATGACGGATTAATGCGCCTAAAAAATGTACGGAATACCTATACAGGGGCGATCCAACCGTTGACATTGCGTTTCGATCGGTGGATACCAAACAAAGCATCGTGTGTACTGCGCGAATGCGGCGTTTCAATGCGGTGCTGAGAAAATGACTTGTGCATGTAAGGCGCGCAGCCAACCGCAGTACGGATAAATGGACCTGATCGGACCCGCGCCCGACGCCACTTTTAGAAACTCACGAAAGGGGACATATGGTACCGTTGATGCGACGATGCGACGCAAAGAGCAGAGACCCAGGCGCTGATGCTGGGATGGTTATTCGTTGTCTGCTGAACAACGCGCTATTTGGAATCAATTCCAAAAGAGTGGTTGGAATGAAAGGAGTGACGCGCTGGAGCATCTGGTGACGGTGGAGAAACAAGAAGCCGCCCACTACTACATAGTGTAGAATCGAGTGACAGGCCGCAGGAAGACTAGATTCAATCGAGCGTTCCGCAACGGCTTGAAGTCTGAAGTAGCATTGGCTAATATATTACATGGAAGAAATCCTTTCGAAATGCATTTTCCTAGAGAATCGCCGTTGTCGACTTGCGAGTCTCCATAAAGTAGGGTATAAATACGGCGGGCACAGTAAAGTCTGAAATATTTCTTCAAGCCAGCACTAGATAGACAGACAACCAGGCGAACTTTCACCGTGAGCTCATCTCTACTCGAGTTTCGCTTGGCAAAAAATCGGTACCGAAAGGAGTGGCCAAGACCGTGCTGCGTACCAATAAAAGCGCAGTCATGATCGTCGCGAACTGTGACAGTCTTGACAGCGCAGTGATCTTCATATAAAACATTCATATTGCCTCCCTAAATCGTGCATATCACCGCATCAGATAACAGACTTGCTTCTATAGACACAGGTTAGCTTTATCTAATATTGCAACAACAACAAAAAACTAAAAGACAGTAGAACAAAATTCTGTTTATCTATACGTCGGGCAACGAGTTCAAACGATACGCAGAGTCGACTGGAGGAGCGTAGGCCTTGATAAGCTGTCCGGGCCAGAACACAGCATAAACTGCCGTAGCGAAGAACAACGGATAGGTGTCAAAAATGTAGAGAAACACTTATTGACAGAAAAAATATCATGAGTGGCCAGAAGGTTGAACCGATCTTGGAGAAGGCTCACCTTCATGAGTAACGAGAAATCCGTTCTCCCCTTGCTGGAACTCTATGATACGGTAAATGCTGCGGATCTGAGAATATATGAAATGAGATGTTACCAACTTCAAGTGGAAAGCACGTACGATGATGAACGCCGATGAAAAGTAAAGCAGATAGATTATGATCCACGGGAAGTTTTCCTTGGTCAAAAGTCCGCCTTTATAAATCTGCCGATGCGAGTAGACGAGGAGGAGAATAAACACGAGGTATGATGATCCCTGCGAAATGAGACCGCCAAGCAACACATCCTTTCCAACCTTGGCTGTGTCACTTTGAGCCAGCATACTTCCTCCCACACCCTGAAAACAAAAAAATAATTAGCAACACGAAAAAGTTGCGTATTTTGAGCAAGTTACCTGGACCAAGAACGTGGTAATGTCACTTAGAATGAAGACTCGAGCCACAAGCCGAGGCCGAATGAGACTGTATCGAGGTTCATTACAGGCGAATGTACGAATGAGTCTCCCATATAAGATATAATTGAACGCGATGAACGCTGCAGGGCTGACAATGACAAGCAGCTGAGTTGTCAAGTCGAATGCAAAGCTGAATGGATTAACGGCTAATTCATAGCGCAGGAAGAATCCCGTTGCAAAAGCTGACGAAAAAGGTCAGAATATTGCTTTATTCTCAAGTATTATACTCACCAGAAGTTCCAATAGGCAGGCACAAGCCCCACCAGGTCTGACACCGGATTAAACGGACGAAGATAACCAGAGAAACGAGGCCAAATAATACACCTGCGAGGAGTGAAGCGACTTTGTTTGGAATGTATCCTGAGAGGGCGAGTTAATGAATACATGGTGTACCACGCTGCATAAAAACTCGTACCGAAATCTTCTTGCGCATAGTTTGTGCGCGTGGAATTAGTATCTGGAGTAAATGAGACGTTAGACCACTGTATGCAACTGTCAATAGAAGATAGTATACCAGACATGCTATGATGAGGAATATGGCACAGAGGCTCTTCGGGTACACTATTTATTCATAACACCTTGATACATTTTTAGTATCAAGTATATGTTAATGCATGGGTCGCAACTCGCCACAGCCTCGTAGGAATGGTTTATCGCATAGCCCCTTCCGCATCACTGCGCAGTGGTCGCAGTCGTTGTTGCAGTGTCCAGCTTACATTGCGCGCAAGGTAAGCGGGCACATTTTCAATTCACAGTTTAATGGTATGTGAAGCGCGAGCTCTGGATAGGAAGTCAGGAACGGTAGCAATGAGGCCGCGCGAGATCCCCCGTTCTAGGTTGCAGGGGAATAAAGTACTGAGAAGCTGTCGTGCATTGCAATGAAAGCCATTGCACAGTGGTAGTACGAGCGTCCAAACATTACTAGCATAACAGTCCAGTTTACTTCAGCGCAGAATAGTTAGCAACGAGGAAAATTCAAAATGTACACTCTTCTGCCAATGCAAGAGTCTTAGAAGAGATACGCGACGCGACGCGAGTGTACCCAAAGAGGATTCAAAGTCCGACACTCACCTGTTTGCACGTGAAAACACAATCAGATTTTAGTTTCTTCAGTGCTGTGTCTGTCAGCGTCGACGACACCTCTTCATCCCCAACAACTACGACCACCATGGGGCTACGTGTGGCTGGAATCATTTGTATTACTTCTTTTCTCCTTGGTATGTTTCGAAGCTGAGCGTCCTCTCTTACACATTCGTCTGAGACTAATGATGAATTCTTGCAGGAATTCTTTTCGTGCACTGGATCGCAGACTCGTTAACTCTATGGAAGCCATCAGTTACGAATGAGAACATATGGACGGCTGCTACATACTATTCACTCTTTGCACGAGCGCCGTCTGAGATGGGCTATGCACTTGCAACGATCGTGACGCTCGGTGCTGCGACTATTCTATGGAGCTTTGGTGACGGAGCTGCGGGAAACCTGATGTTTGATGGTGCAAGTATATGTGCGTCCTTTCCTCAGAGGATCTATTTTTGTGTGTGTCTGAATGCGAATGTTTTTCCCAAGTTTTGTATGGCACTGCAATCTCCGTGTATTTGTACAAGATCATCCCGAGTGCGTGCTTTTTACTTATTTTTACATTCAAGCACAACGTAACATGCTAACTTTTACCATGTTACGTATAGCTTTTGATGGGATCTTTTCAACAGTCCCAACGTCCGTTCATAATGGTCTTACAAACGTCCTAAAATCCGAAGTCCTCAACTTCGCAACCGCGAACCTGGTATGCAGTGTTTCGCTCACGGGCGTCATGGCACTGCAAGCTGCACGATGGTGGGCAGAGCGTGCTGATGCCGAAGACAGTGAGGAGGGAGTATCTAGGAGCCCAACACAGCGTCGCTCGCCCCGGAGGGTCAAGCGACGGGAAAATACCGCTAGTCGGCTGACCTCCAAGGCCAGCAGGCAAAGCAGGCACGCAGACGTGCGATCCTGAATGGAGACGTAAAAAACGACGCACTGCCAAGACATTGGTTTCTTTCGTTGGCTCACTTTTCCCTTTCGGATTCTTCGTACTTACCTATCTATTGAATGAGCTCTGCGGTTTTATGATGTATTAGTTAATCGTCCCTCTCTGATCGCTCCCGTGCCTTGATGAATCAATCAAAAAATTGCATTTCACTGCGTCTACATGATGTTTGCTTCTAATCCTTCTTCCTTCTTCTGGTATCTGCTACCCGGATTCCACCTCCCGCACGCCTCTCCCTAGATGCCGAATGCATAGCCTCTGCGGACGCAGCATCACCACCACCCTCTTCAACACTTTCTACCATTGTATCGCTAATGCCACCAGCAGTGCTTACCATTACTCCTTGAGCATATCCGCGGTTTCTACTTCCACCGACACTTAAGAGTCGAACAATGCGGTCATTGATCCATAATACTACCGCGAAAATAGGTAACCGTATTGGGACGAAAGGAGAGGGATATCGGATATCGCTTGCATCAGATATTGGCAATGGGTTATATGGATTTATGGGAGCTGGTTTCGCGTGCATCGCCATGATGATATACTACGAAAATTATTAGAAAAAAAATCAGTTCAATACTGTGAAAAGTGACATACTGAAGGAAGAATGAGAGCGAATATGGCTGCATTGGCCAAGGTGCTCCCCCACATGCACAGAGCGGAAGAAGGAAATCCTGGAAGCGACATAAGACATCTTGCAACTGTACTGTCCGAAAAGGTCCGTACCAAAAGCAAGGTAATATGCCCAGCGTTCTTCAAGGTGCCTTATTCGCTGGGCAAGAGATAATCCTCGAGCTATCCAAATAAACCTAGGGAAGACCGTAAGATCGCACACCTCACAATGGTTAAACAATGCACATACTCAAAGCAGTAATATCTGGACTTTCGAATGTTAATTAATGATTTTTAGACATCAAGGCAATACTCACGTGTCTACCCAACAGAAGAAAATGAAGCCAGCAGTATAGCCAACCACCGGAACGTATCCCAATGCGAATGCAATCACCACTGATGTACATATCATAACAGCCCGATAGGCCGAGGTAGCAAGGGCGGTTAGGATGCCGGTGTATGTTGAAGGTGCTGTTTTTCGACTGCCGTGTCGAAGTGTATACACACGGTTTGCAACAATCGAACACCATGAGCTCTGTGGTACATGAGGGTGAGCTATAGCAGGTACAATAAACTCTGAGGAGATTCATGCTTACATTTAAATACAGCGATGCACCGACCACTGGAAAAAGCCATAACACTCTATAAAACCAGCCCATATTTCGGTGTAGCCACTTTTGCTGGTCTCGGACAAGTGGTTGTAACAATAGGTCGAAAATGTAGATCGACAATAGTGATAGTCCATTCAACATGAATGACTTGAGCATATTCGCTCTAATTTCTGCATCACTTGCACGTGCAAGGTGAGTGGTTAAAAGTAACACAACGAACAGATGTAACACACCCAGCTACAGTAGAGACAACAATATCCCAGCGAGATGCATCTACGAAGCCTTTCCATAGCCAAGAAAGTTGATAAGATAGAGTCTCCGGTAATGATAAGAAAGAAGGATAGGAAGCTCTTGCTTGTGCCGTCGACTGCTGCGAATAGTACGATGCTGGTGCTCGTCCCTGTGGAAAGCTGGCAAACGAACGTGATTCAGAAAACCGATCGGATTGTGTGTTAGATAAGTGAGCCATTAGGTGAAGGGAGAGATCAACTGATCTCTATCGCACTTGACGAAAGCTAGTACACGTCGTGCTGAAGGGCGGCGCCATGAACACGGTGGTCAAACTCAAATATGTGTTCGCGAAGTCCCACGCTATATCCTCTTTTGGAATGGCTTCGAAACCCTCATAAGAGGGACTCTACCAATCCCAGCCAACTTCTGTAATGATGACTGGGCTGAAAAATTATGCGATCATACACTTTATAAAGGCATTCTTCATTCCGGACCTTTTCCCAGAACGCCCACTCTGCTCGATCATCTTGAGTCCCCCTTGACCAGGTTTCTACCCCTGTTAGTGCGTAAAATGACTCGGGATATCGACCGTTCTTCCTCTCTTAAACAGGATCTTACTGATGTATTGCAGAAACTGGGCCACAAGAGATGGTTAGATGGTCAATACTCCGCAATCAAAGCTATTTGTGAGAATCGTGACGTTTTTTGTACTCTACCGCCTGGTTCGGGTAAAAGTCTCGTTTACCAGGTTTGAGACAAACAGCACTTGTTTATTCACACAATACTCATATGCATTGTACCTTTCCAGGTAGCCGGACTGTATAAGGCTATGACTGGACAAGGAATTACCTTTGTTATTAGCGTCAGTCACCATTTCTCTGGTTGCATGAGCTTCTGGTCGGAGTGGTCATGCCACTCTGCACATCAAGACACTTGAGTCCTCAACAACATTACATATATCATGCACAATGAAGATGCAAGCTGACGTACGCAATCTTCAGCCTCTCATCTCTCTCATGAAGGAGCAAGTGGGAGACTTGCACAAAAAGGGCATATATGCTATCCCGTGGGTATCCACAAACTACCGCCTACTACCACACAGCTTACACTGGACAAAGGCTGTACTACAAAGAGCAGCAGGATATCAATCATTATCAATACATAAAGCTCCTCGTTCATTCTGCCCATCCACCTGTCTTCGTGTTTATTACACCAGAGCGACTGGCTGGCCCATTGTGGACGAGGCTGATGGACAACCTATATAACCAGAATCGCGTAGCATTGTTTGTCTTTGATGAGGCACAGATTATTCTCGACGTACGTATAGTCTCGATTGAAATCATGGACTTGAACTAAACACGGTAACCTGATAGTGGGGACATTCGTATCGGCCCTTAGTAAGTCATATATCCAAATTTGAGGCGGACTATCGAAAGTAACTGAGTACTTCCCAGTATATGCAACTCCAGAACTTGAAGGAGAAGTATACCAGCGTTCCAATCCTAGCCCTCTCAGGTTCTATAAGCCAGAAGATACTTCACGATTCGGAACGATTTCTCGGCGTGCAAGACTGTAAAATTGTAACCAAAAATCCTGATAGGCCGAATATATGCTACCAAGTCATTAACATGGAACACAAAGGCTTGGAATGCACTGCAGCTATTGTCAAGTTCCTCGAAGCGTGAGCGAACCCCTCACTTACAGACAGTATTTTTTAGAAGTACTCACGTGTTAGCTCAGGAGCTTAAGGTGGAATGGAGAACAGTCAGGGATTATTTATTGTAGAACGCCTGAACGCTGTAGGAAGCTTCAAAAGACATTAAATAGTGAAGGAATTTTGGCCACCTGTTACTTTGGGCAGGAAATGTCCGAAGAGGAGAGATCTTGTTCTTATCAACTATGGAAACAAAATCATGTGCGAATCATGATTGCTACAGTATGTGGAAATGGATATGCGTTTACATAATCACAACTCATATGAATACGGGTCCAGGTTGCATTCGGAATGGGCATTGATAAAGAAGATGGTATGTCTTCTAGTCCTCGAGGTCACTCAAGTCACTCATCGGCTTTCAGTCAGGTTTGTCCTACATCAGGACTTACCCAAGGTAATTGATCTTACAGTAAATTAATCGTTCCTATTGATAAAGGCTGGTTATTTTTGATAGGGAGTCAGTGCATATCTCCAAGAGACCGGCAGGTGGGCATGTCCTTCACGTGTCAATCCACCGTTCATAATATCTTGTTTTTTTTACAGGGCAGGTCGTGATGGGAAGGCCGCACGATGCATTCTGTGTCAGTTCCCATCCGTAACCTACCAAGTCTGTCGAGCATGACTGATACCCTAAGTATAGATTATACTTACGCAGATTGCCATCGGAACTACTCTCTGTCACTGAACCAGGACAAACCCATGGAAAACGACTACCTTGAACAAGAGGTTATCCCATCGGTCCAACAATTATTACGCATGTGTGTAGATCATACGACATGTAGAAGATCGTACCTCCTGAAGCACTATGGTTATAAATCCAATGGACGTTGTGGCAACTGTGATGTCTGTCTTCAGCCAGTGGCAGCGAACCGACTTGGTATAGTACAGAAGAAATTCGTTGATGTCATCGTGGCAGAGTTCAGGCTACTCTCGGAAGATGATGGCGAGCGGCCGCAAGAGAGGCCCAATGGTAACTTTGGGATTTTGCAACTTGCCACGGCAGTATCGAGGGGCTTAAATGCAAAGGAGTTCGGTTCCTTGCTCAAAATTGATGCTGATCAGATTCATAAAGTGAAAAATTTGACTGATCGAAAGCGGATCAGTTGCTCCGTAATACATAATCTTATCCTCCGTGGTGTTTTCTCGGAATACCCTGTGAAATGTCATCACTACAATCATAAATTCTACTTGAAGGTGAGGTAAACTCGACACAACCTTTGTTTTGTCTCTAATGACGGCACTTATATCGGTTGAATTTAGCTGGAGCATTCGCGAGGAACAAAAGGCAGATTTTCCGTGCTGCTATAAGACGGGTCGAGGCGAGTTTCATGTTAAAAGTCATTTCGCCAGACGGAAAAACAACCTTCACGCTTCAGGCGAAACGGTGGCGTTACCAGGTTACAAATGTGCCTATTACGCAGCCGCAAGAACCTTCCGGTTGCTATATTCTGTAAATTAGAGATATTGTAAATTGCGGTTGTGTGGCCCGACCATGGACGATTGTGTGTGTTTTGCGGCGTAGGCAAAAGGGGTTATTTGGCTTAGCATATAGTTACTTGGTGAACTCATCAAAAGATGGATTCTGATATTTTGCATCCGTATCGTAACTCTGACTAGCTCTTCGATGAAGTCTGATACAAGAGCGTCCTCGAAGATCGTCCTCGAAAACGGCCCGCTGAGGTCAAAAATGACGAACGGCTGTGAGTGGAGGTTGAAATGATTTTGTTACGTTTCACATAGGCGACGCGGTCATTATGTCATAGTTGAACAAGGACAAATACCGGCCAAATACTCGTTGTCTTTCTTTCCCAGTCTGCTCTCGTCCCTTCTCGTCCTTTTCTTCCTCACCTGCGCCTGGCCAGCGTCGGTCTTGATAGATTTCTTGTAGACGACGTGCAGACGACGCTCTTGATCATTTCCTCTTGACACGCGTTTTTAGCGCGTTCTGATCGTTTCGGGCGCGTGATCGTGTTGAATTGGACCTACAGACGGTTGCATCAATCCCCCGAGCTCTCGTCTCGTAAGTAAACTGGTTGAACTTTTGTGCTCTTTGTCTTCGTATCCTATCGCCCAGTCCACTGACAATATCCTGTTCGTTCTCCTCGATCAAGGCGCGGCCTCCTCCGAAAATACCTTCATTTTAACCGTGAGTATTTTGTTCTTCGGTAGAGCTACCCGGAACGTGGCCGATTACAATAGATCGACCCGTGCTCTGGCGCGTGGCGTCTTCAAAGTTGAACTTCAACCATAGCTCATCCTGAATCCTCTCTCTCCTCGACAGTCGGCCACGATCACACCCGTGTTTCCAACGGCGTGACATAACTCTCGTAAGTGGCTCTTTAAAAGTTCAACCTGCTTAAATACTGAACGCGTCTCACTCCTTGCTTCCTCCATCCGCGATGTTCAACGCGATCGGTCTTAGTCTTGCAGCTGCAGTCAATAACAGGAAGCGCAAACGACGCGATCCTGACACTTCGTTCGAGGAAATGCCTCCGTTCTTTACATCACTGTCTGCCAAGACGCTCAAACCCCCTCCAGCACCGTCTCGCAAGCCGTCGGAGCGCTTACAGCGCCCTTCAAACGAGCTCGATGACTTCCTTTCCTCAGATCTAGAGAACTCCTTCGCCTCAACCATGTCCTTGAACTCCCCCACCGGTTCGCCTCGAGACGCATTCGTACCCTCCAGTCTTCCCGAAGTCCAGTCGCCGATGGCAATGGACATTTCTCCCGCCCCTCCTCAGAAGATGTTCCTCGACGACGCCTCCGAGAGAAAAGCCTCTCGACAAGAGTTGTCAGCCGCTCGTTCGTTTGGTCGCGAGCTGGGAAACCACGCATTGGCGACCGTCCAGGCAGAGAGCGCATCAATGAGGATGGGCAGTAACGGTCCGCAACGTACTTTGCTCCCGTCGGAGTGGTTAGCTGGTTTCTCATCAGGCAAGGCTGAGAACGTTGTGAGTTGCATTTCAATCCAGGCTGGATGATCAGCTCATTACATTCTGAACTGTCCGCCTTTTGCTTATGCCATATTCACGACACTAGCCCGCTGAAGATCACCGGAATACTAATTACTCAGATGCAATGGAGGTAGACGAATGCATTCTTCCTGCATCGCTAACTTGCCCTACCGTCGAGGATCCGACCATCAAGTTCCCATCCGTACAAGATGAGAAGGGGTTCTCGAACCTCTTCTTTGATGGCATGTCGTCCCCGCCTCCAATTCGGCCAATGAAGCGCAGGTCTCTATCGCCTGAGGGTTCTCCCCGACAGAATGTCGGAATGAGACAAAGATACAGTAATGATGGTGCTACCTTCCTACAGGGTAACTTCGAAGGATCTTCTTCGCCGGCCCCGCCATCGCCCTCTGCCCGCAAGTTTGAACGAGTTGCAAGTACAGGTGGTCTGTTTGGTAAGAACATTCGGCAGCCTGCTTTTTTGACCGCACCATCTGGAACTACCTCAATCTCCGATGGTCCCAAGAGGTTGAAGCGACCAGCTTTGGAAGGGCATGCAATATCTGCATATTCTGTCATGGAGGCGAACGATGATAACGGTTTCAAGGAAATGCCAGCACCGAGACGTGCATTTTCTGCTACCGTTCCTCCGATGCCATCGAGTCCCGGTGAGGGTGATTCCGAAGTAGGACACGAAGTCTCTTCTCCAGCTGCTCAAGCTCTGGCGAAGAAGCAGGCGGTGCGTACCATCCGAAGGCGAGATGGAACGGATGATTTTCGACCGTTTGCAGCTGGCGGTACTCTCCGCCAACGGGATACGAATCCTTCGGTGCAATCACCCTTGAGAGACGCAACGCACCCAGCCAATATTGAAAGTCCGAGCGCTCGCTGGCTTAAAGGAACAGGCTTACCAGGGTTCGGCGACAATGAAGCACATGGGAAGATCCTTCCATGTGAACGAGTTCCAGAAGACGGCCTGATGCGAATTGATGTTCAAACGGTAAGCTCATTGCATTTTTTGTAGTACGGCTGTTTAACATTCTCTGGGATGCCTTTGTAGCTGGACGCTTTAATATCTGGGACATACGATGATAAGATCGTGACTTATCATATTATTGACTGTCGATTTGATTATGAATACCAAGGCGGCCATATCAAAGGGGCTGTCAATGTTAACACAACAGCAGACATCGAAGACTATCTTTTAGGAAATAATATTCCCAAACCGACGCCGACATGCAGTGGTGATCCGAACAAAAAGACTATTCTTATCTTTCATTGCGAATTTAGTGCAAAACGTGCACCGACTTTGTATGTTGTTTGATTACGTCTGTTAGCGATCACTGACAGTAATGTCTTTCTAGCGCCAAAGCCCTACGCGCAAAGGACAGAGCGATGAACAATCACGTCTATCCGCGCATACACTATCCGGAAGTATACGTCCTCAAAGGAGGCTACCACCAGTACTACACGGAGTCAGCAATGTACAGTGAGCCCCGTGGCTACGTGCGTATGGATGACCCCCAGTACGCTCGTGATCGACGCCAGGATCTCGACCAATTCCGGACGAAGTCGCGTTTTGGTAGGACAAAGAGCTACGCATACGGAGAGCTCTCAAAGCAGCTTTCAGGATCGCAAGGCCAACAGCCGCCAAATCCTTTCTCACATCATCAAAGGAACTCCGCTCCGGGAAGTTCGTCTCTGCTTCCCGCCGCCATTGTATCTCGCTCGAGGCGATCTGGTGAAGATGCTCCGCCAATTCTCTCGACACTCGACGAGGATTCGATGATCGGCATGACCAGCGTGAGCAGTGATGAGAGCGGGATATTAGAAGGCGTTGATAAGAGTCCTTGCCCACCGCCAGCAGCCAGGGCGAAAAATGGACTGATGGGCATGTCTATGCTCAACTTCAAGCAACGAAACGCAGGGACCGGACGCGGGCCTCTGCAACGCGCCCAGACGGTCGCTCAGATCCGTTGAAATGCCATCATCAGCAAGACACGATGTTCACAAGGCCTGATATACTCACGGAACCACACACTTATCTTCACACTCAGCTATTCGCCACCCACGTAACCCATCCTCACCAAATCTCGGTTTCAATCCCTGTATCAAGATCTCGCCCAGACTCTAACGTTTTTCGCAGCCGACTCTGCACTCACATAGTCAAGCTCCAGCAACACACAGCAATTTCACCAATACTATACTACCACTAATCCAGCATCGTGGTTCACGCACCGTTTGTGCCAGTGAACTCTGAGATCCGAGCATACTCCTGCAATTCCGCTAACGGCGCATACATTCTCCTACATCCCACAAATCTCTTTATTTATTCGGACAATTACTGTTTTTTCTTGGTTATTCTGATTTCTCCTTTCTCCTTTCCCCATTGTGCAGATCTTTATGCAACGTCATCTGTTCTTGTTTTTCTTTCTCTTTATCAACTCGCATGCAATGATTTGTTCGCATCTCGTTTCGGATCGCATTTATATACATTGCTTTGTTTTTCTTTTATTATTTCAGTCCTACATACGCATCCGATTTGTCGGAACATCTCTTTGTTCTAGCTTCGCATACAGTCGTTGCGATGCCTTGTTTGATCGTTTGCAGATGCATTTTGCATTTTCAGTTTCGGATTTCTCTTTCTCTCTGTCCGCCTCCGTCTCAATTTTCATATCGTCTGCTCATCTTTCTTTGCCTTCTAAACTATCTATCTATTTTTCTACACATACACACAATCAACAGCATCAGCAATCAAACTCATTAGGACAAAGTACATAGTATACACTCCGTTGAACATGCACAAGCAACACTTCATCCTGTAGCGCTGTAGATAATTTGCAGTTTGTGTGCAGGATGTTTTCCAAGCAATACAAGTATATTTTAAATCCTGTCATGTGCCTCTGCTCGTGTATTATTCCATGATGCAGAAGCAATTGTATCAACTGGCGGAACGTTACTGGAATACTAGATAGTTGCGTTATAGGTATCTGCTACTGTTTTCTGCATTACGAAGCCTTGCTCATGTAGACATTGACAGCATTTTTACAATGTGTTGAATCCACGGTTCAATTTGTCATTCTTCCAAGAAACCTCAACGCTGTGACTGCACTAAGTTATGAATATATTCCGCACATATGCAAGCCGTCCGATTGCATCAATATATCAACTGCTTACGAACATAAGAATCGAGATTCATGTCTTGACTTAGTAAGGACTGCACGAGTTGCATACATACCAAGCACAATGACAGTGAAGGGCATTAAAAGACTTTCCGTTTAGGCTTTAAATAAATTTGCATGATACGTACTAGAGGTGTTCGTGATATAGAATTCTTTTGTACAAGGTGTTAACATACACTAGTAGAGCCACGACCATAACACAAGATACTACCTTGTGCTTGTAATTCGTGAGTTTGAGTTTTGGTGCTGCCTGACCTGAAGCAAGGTCCTGTTTAATACTAGCACAGCTAAATTCGAGTATGGAGTAAAGTTCAATGTACTGAATTCGCATCCTGCATAGATGGTAGATATCTCCTTTCATTCTTGTCCAGAACTCTTGTCGTAATATGTCCTGAGATGGGTTGATAAGAAAATGTCCTGGGCGGCGGGTAAGCTGGCTCTTAAAACTCAGACATAATGCGCTTGGTGCAGTAGTTACCCACTTGCTGCGATGTAAGCGGAGAGACGGGCATGCTGCAATTGAAAGCTGGCGTGAGTAGAACTTAATACAAATTTTATTTCCGAGTCGTTGTCCAAGGAAGAACCCCACGTGCCAATCGCGCAATTACCACGGGGTGGAACAGGATATACTGGGATATAGATCCTTTTGTTCCTGAATTGTCACCTTATACTGTTAAACTTACTTCACCTGTAGAGTTCCAAAACGATAAGAAGTATGACTGCCCCAATTCAAGATGCTATAGTTCTGCTAGGCGATTCTCTTACTCAGGGCGGTTGGGAACCTAATGGCTTTGCCCAGCGACTAGCCTGTAGGTATCAAACTTTGCCAGACCAAGAACCGGAGGCATTTAGAGCTAATGACTAAACGTGCTTGTCGCTCTTTCAGCTGCGTATGTTCGCAAGATGGATGTAGTCAACCGGGGATTCTCGGGATACAATACAGAGTGGGCAATCCCGGTCTTTGAGCAGGTTTTTAGCTATCGTTCTTCGCACCCAAACACTCAATGCATTGACATTGCTTCGATTGTTTACAAGTTCCTTGCACCGACGAGCAAGCAGTCATATACACAGAAGATCCGTTTGCTGACGATTTGGTATGGCGCAAACGATGCGTGCTTGCCGAGCTCCGTCCAACATGTTCCAATCGACAAATACGAATCGAATTTGACTCATCTCATACATATGGTCAGAGACCCCTCCTCTACTTGGCACTCACCAGAAACAAGAATACTGCTTATCACGCCGCCGCCGATTAATCTACACCAGTGGCTTGAGTCGAAGGACCCTGACGGCACAACACACAAGAAAGATCGGGACTTTGGTGTAACTGCTGAATATGCGCAGAAGGTCCGTGATGTCGGTGCAAAAGAGAAGATCCCAGTTGTGGATGTATGGAAGGCATTGTGGGATGCCGCTGGTCAAAAGGAAGATGCGCTGAGCAGATACTTGTCCGACGGACTGCACCTTACACCGGAAGGGTACTCCGTATGATTGCACCCGCTTATGCATACTGTCAGAGGAAGAGACTACTGACCCTGCTTCTCCAGGTGGTATATGAAGAGCTCATAACAACGATCAAAGAATATGCTCCCGACTTACACCACGAGAATCTCAGGGAGGTCTTCGTCCGGTACGAACAACGCCTTGTAAATAGAACTCGAAGATCGTGTTCCTCACCCTTTGCCTTATCAGATGGAATGAAGTGGATTCCAATAACCCCAGAGCCTGTCTTATGAAACGAAGCATCGAGGCATGAAACTATGAACGGTGTTTGTCCGCTGTAAAGAAGAGACTTGAAACAAAAATAGCCTTCGCACTTAGAGTCTCGTGTAAATTACCGAAAGAGGTATTGAAGAGCAAACGTTAACCGAATCCAGCCCATTCAATTGAGAAGATGTCTGCTTCCTGAGTGCTTGCGTCCCAAGAACATAATAGATGTGCCTTTTTCGTTGCGGTTCCAAGACGTCCGTGAGCAACGACTTCCATCGGCCGTAGAGGAGCAGATAGCTCTACCACAGATGCAACAAAGTGTGAGTGATAACGGAGTAGATCGCCTAGATAGATTCACCCCAACATTGAGAATGCGGGCTTCGGAAGAAGAGTTAACTCATTAACGTACCGGGGTAAACAAGATAGTCGCCACCGAATTTGATGCCACAGCCCATGTAGTATCCTTTGTTCCACAAAGACCGATATATTGCGCATCTTGCCTGCTGCTCGGGTGAAGACGGGTAGTTCCAGACATTCGCACGTCTTGCGGCGGATAAAGTAAAATGACAGTGCTGCGCAGTTCGATACCACTTAAACGGTGTCGACGATGTTGGAATCTTGACTGTGTAAGTGGTCGGAGCCACAGGAACAGAAGGTGGGGTTGTTGGGCGTGGAGTCCCTGGCGGCGTTTCTGCGTGAGTGTTTTCACTTTCGTCATTCCGTCTCGACATTTTGGCGAGATCCGCCGCGCGTCGTTCTTGTCGTACACGTCTTTTCATTACCGCCTCCTCAGTCATGCTTTTTTGTGCCGAGACCTCGCGGTCGTCCCTGAGTGCGATATCTCGCTCTCGCTCGCGGTTTCGTGTGCTGTTCCATTCATTTTTCTCAGATTGCGAAGGCCGACAATGGGCATTCACATCGTCAACAATGGCAGCAATTCCTAGGTATGTATTAATACACATGCCGATTGAATTGTAGCGACCCAGACCCACCTTCTTCTACTAACAGAACTACTTCCTCAGGCATAAGTAACAAAGGGACACCGAGGAATACATTCTGCTGCGACAGATGTGGAAGAGTCCCTCCTAATAGCCCACAGATGCGATGTTGTGTTCGTAGTTTTGCTATATCTGTGTTGTTGTTTTTTGGTCATGACCACCAATGAGTAAACCTCTCTTGCATTGCACCGACAAAAATAGGAAAGTATACCGCACCCTCCACGTCCCAAACGTACGCGCATTGATTCGAAACACGCAATAGTACCCTTTCCTGGTTTGCAGACATTTGACTAGTGTTGGCTTTTCTGCCTGTTGCGTTTGAGTATGAATTATTTCGACGCGTCGGATCTGAACCTCAACCCTTCCTTATTTGGAGTGTGAGAATGTCCTTCCAAATGTTATGTGGGTCCACTAAGAGACAGAAGTTCTGGAGTGATGTCTTTTCGGACGTTCTATTCAGTGGAAAGCGAAGAGGTAAGAACCAAATTTCGTTCCTTTCGACAACTTTAATTGCGTTATTGCGTAGTCCTTGTGCCCTCGACGCTCGTTTTCGTTCCTCTATCCCCCTAGACACTCATACGTAAATGCAACATATGCGAAGTGAAACAAAGCCTTCGCTACTGGTCCCAGACTCTCAGGCCCGTGAGCATTATCTTGTGTTCTTATGTCCTTCATTTGGAGCCGACTCATGTGCTGTGGATTACGATGCACTGATGACAGCCAGAGTGAATGAGCCCTCCCTATCGAAGTGAGGAAAGAAGTCGGGGTAAGGCTAACACCTGCAGCCTGGCACGAGAAGCACAATGTCGTATGCATATTATGCTTATTATAACACCTGCCTTGCACCCATGCATTGAAACTGTGCCTTGTGCACGTAGAAGACCGACTCTGAGCACCAACGACCTTACCGCATGGCGTGGAGACATGAACTGAGCACGTCCCTGACGTGAATATTCGCAAAACGGGAAAAGAAACAGAGCCGGTCTTTTCTTCATAGCGGTTAATTTGATCGGGGGTGAATGCGAGAAGTAGGCCTTTTTTTGCGTTATCGATGATTGACACCAGTCTCTATGGGAAGAACAGAATCTCGCTACTGCCGTGGAATTCGGATACCTGTGACGGAAGACACGCAGCCAAACACTCGGTCGTCATTGAGTCGGACCTTTCCGTGCTCTTGTACAATGCTCGCACGAGACTTTCTGATGCGATGCTCGGGAAGGCTTTCACTTCGGCATGCGTCTTAGTTCACGAACCGAAAGCCGTTGAGATCAATCTGCTCGCTGCGTTTTTCCACTTTTACAAATATGTGAGTTCTAAGCTAGTTTTAGCGAAAGGCATTAGAATTTAAGGTGCACAACGTGGAAGCTTCTCCAACAGCTCGCATACTGGGAGGCTTTATGGATGTGTGCCTAGATTGCGGGAATCCTTCGGGGGGGGGGGCCTCCAAAAATACCTGGTGTGGTCGATGTGGTTTACTGGAACTCTTACAGACAGAATGGAAGTTTGCGACAAATGAGTGCAGTCATCCCCCTTCGCGGCTGTGAGTCGATGGTATGGTGCGGCACATGTCTATTTCTGCTATTGAAACTAGTCCTCAAAGAAACCATCCTCGCTTGTGCGGCAATGGCACGCTTCGCTTGTTCCATGCGGAGGATTGCAAGTTCCAGAACCCAGCGCCTTGGAACACACAACATAATTTATTCTGCTTAACTGCACATGTACGTACAGCACTGTAACAGTAACCTACATATATTCGTAAATATTACCTCTTCAAACGAGGATTTCTTTAAAAATACAATTGGATTTGCCTTTTTTGAGTTTGAACGTCGATCGACCACACCGGCAAATTCCGTGACTTCTCAGAGTAGGAACCTTTTCAATCCCTGTCTTTGACCTGTACCGTTCCCCGCTTTCTTGCATAATTTGCAGTATCAAAGAAAACTTCCATAACATAATAGTTCTTAGAGATGTGCAGCAAGCAGGAAGGTAAGACGATGCATCCTTCTATTGCAACCCGTGTTTTGTTCATCCCGCCTGACTCAGTGTAGTTTTCGCCATTCTCCAACTTGCCTCGCAAACTTGCTCAACTGCACTAAAGGCATTGCGTGATTCAGGTACTATTACGCAACTACCAGCAACTAATACCGATGCATCTTTGGACACGAGACTCAATGACTACAACTCTCTGCTTTCTCTGCTTTACCATGACGCAACCAAGCTCGCTATTGCACTCAAGCCCTCCGATCTGACATACTCCGCGGCGCTTTCTCCGGCCAAAGAACTTGTATCGCATGTCAACGCTCTCGCATCTTGTGCGTGTAGCATCGATGGGGCGCAATATGGACGTACTCTGTCCCGCGAGATGCGCTGGTCAACTGAAGATGTGTTGACTGGGTTTGAGTCACTCTTGGGGGTATATGCATCCGATGCACACCATCGGAATGCTATCAGAGAAAAAGGTACAACTGAACCATACCTCGTTAGAACCGGTACTGTACACGAGGCGATCGTCCGAGCCCGCGGGATACCACGCACGAATCAGGAGGCAGTCAGAAAACGATGGCAGGGAGTCCTCGGAGGACTGAGCGATTGTGAGAAGGAAGTTCAAGAAATGGTCACTGAAGAAGAAGCGGAAGGTAACAATGAAGGGGATAGTGAGGATGAAGGCTATGGCGATTTCGACGACGATTGGGAGCTCGATGACATGAAGCACCCTAAAAAGCAAAACATCGTTGCTTCCCAGGAAGAGCTCACGCGCCTAAAATCTGTTCGTCATATCTGCCTAAACTTCTCCCTTCTGATTTAATGTCACTTGTTAATATGGCGCTGATGCTGAATTTGCTACATTATACAGGCGTATACGTTATTCAAATTCACATACACGTTGGTCAAGCGCGTGGATCATATTATCTTACGGCCATCTTCCACTATAGAATTGCCGCCCCCGAGAACCCTTGATAAACTTCTCTCTAATGGTGACTTGTTGCTGAAGTCTGCGGATGAACTCGTCCACGCGCTCTACGTCCCCCAAGTTTCTGATGATGTGTCAAAAAATTCAAAGAACTTCGTGGCACTCGTTAACGATTTACAGGCCGATTTAGCATCGATAGGACTTGCAAATCACTCTCCTGGAAGTTTTGGCGAGTCCTCGATCGCGAATCTCACCCAGAAAGCTGCCTCTGTATCTCTAGTGGCGCTGCCCAACGAGGGAAAGGACCTGGTGAAAGAACAGAGATGGTTCGACGCTTGCTTCGCGCAGATATTCAAGTCGATATCAAGCCCAGTGTAGACTATTCATGCCGCGTATTATATTGCGGTTGTACGAAAGTCGTTAAATAAACGCCATGCGTTCCGCTCTTCCAATGCATTTCCTGCATATTGGTGACTTTAGATGCCCTCGTTGCTTCTAGCACCTGCAAGATCCTAATGCTCGTCGAGGCCACTACGCTCATATCGTTGGCTCATAACTACCGAATCAAGAGTGGGCCGCACACGGCATTTTTTGGGACCCTTTGCAACGAGTCGCATGTCTAGTAGTTTGGCCTTCCCCTTTAGCCTGTGAAGTCTTATGAAGGGACGTTGGACCCTAGTTAAGCGAATTTACGGGTAGTCAAATAAAGAATAAAGATATTTGACCGCCGGACAAGTACGGCGAAGGGCCCGATGGTCGGCAAATAACGATACCTTCCCTGCGGAGCGAATGTTTCATGACTGTTCACCAGATGTATTTTGTAAATGCTCCCACCCACACGTATGCCTGGGCCCAAGCTATGCCGAGAACAAACACGTATTCCCGTGAACTCTCCGGAAATATTATTCTTTGTATTAAACAATGCCACTACCCCGGTGGCGCGGAGATTGTTGTGCTCCAATACGGGACGGGCATGCACACCACAAAAAATTGAATTCAGTACATTGCTTGGCTTTGCAACATTCATGTCACAGTACGTGATGACATCCGGTTCCATCGGCTTAATGTTGCTCAGCGACGGTTTTTAATTGATTTATTTCGCCGTTTGCAAAGTTCGTGTGTTCCAACGGTTTTCGCCGTGAGGCGTTAAATACTGAAACGGGTTTCGTCTCCTGATGCCGAGGCCCGATAGTGTGGACCTAAGAAAATTTGTCAAGGTACCCAAGACGCCGAATCTGAGTAAGTGAACAAAAATTTGAACGGTATCTTGTTCTGAGATGTACCTGGGCAATTCAATCTAGAGTACTTAGACTAGTGCTTCTTTTATGGTAAGCGATTTTCCCTATAAGGGCAGGGCTGACAACCTCAACCCTGAGGCTGCAACTCCTATTTTACATCGGCAAGCAGATTCAAATGCAAAGTGTATCCTCCTTTACCAGTTGCCCTGGCGAAGAGAGCCACGCGTCTTTCTAAGTCTTTCTCTGTTGTCTGCAGATCTTTAATTACCTTATTTTACATAACATAAACGTCGCAACTCTGCAAGCGAGCGGCGCTCAGACCTGTCGGGGTATGCATACACATAACACATCTCATATCTTTTATACTTTATCCATATATGTTCCAGAATACTCAGGTGCTCACGGCGCATGCATGCCATTTGCCTCATTCCTGAGACCGAAGCATCGTGGCCCCACGGGCGAAGATTAATTGCTGGTGTTTTTATCTCGTTCCCTTGAGTTTAATGGCTGATTCCCCCCTGATGGTGAATCCCCGAGACGACCTAAAAACAGATTTTCAGAAAAGAGCAACACATCATGCTCCAATGTACGTCTTGGTCCGAGGAAATCGTTGACAGAAGCACGTAATCGAGAGACTGCGCCAAATTTCGGGTTGGTCAGCTGAGAGTTCATGTTCTTGATGACTTTCTAGCTCTAGAATATGCCAGAATGCTTTGACTCCAAAGCCCCAGATGCGGGTTCTAATATTCGGAAGTCTAGTCGGGTTTTCCGTCATTCACTTCCCCGCGTTATCTTGACAATCCCGGATGCCAAACAGGATATGGGTATGCACGGTACATTGAATTAAAGTACCCGAGGAATGGCGCTACTGAGTCGCGGAAAGCTCGTCGCCGATATGCCGAACATGCATGGCCAAGAGACCGTTGTACATCCCCCTCGCCTATTTGCGGCTGCATGCCAGGCTTCCAATAGAAGATAGCACAGTCAGGCCTGACGAGGGTCTAACCCTCGTCATGACTGTACGATTTGATCTTTGCTCGGACGGCCCCTGTGCATCCCTGCATGTCCACGTACGGCAGCAATTCCCGAAGAATCCCTATGCAACCACTTTCGTGTTTAAAAGCGCGTCCAGCGAGATATCAGTCTCACTCAACTCCCCTCGCTCTTCAGTTGAGGTACTGCGCTGTGGTCATTAACCTGTCTGCCGGAGGATCGATAGTCTCAATATTTCACCGGAAAACGTGTAGGCCCTGATTATCTGCTGGCACACATCGGGCCGTCTGAGCGCTAACAATCCGAGTGGTAGGTCGTGTAAATTGTGCACCCATCGTGCAACACGCTTACCTTCCTGATCGGAGCCAGGCTTTAATAATCGATCCAGCTCGTGTCACCTAGTAGTCATTTAAGGCTGGTGTCCCTCGCCCCCCTCCCCTCTCCTACCTCCGCCGACCTTCGAGCTTTGACTTTCCCCCCTCTCCCGTCCTGATCGCCGAGCTTGTCACGGCGGCTTGATAGCCTTTGTTGCCCGCTCAATACAATCTACGACTCTATCCGAACCCCGCATTGGATCGCTGTAGCGTCCAGAACCATGTGGTAAGTTAACGCCGAGCGACCGACCTATAAAAAGCTCACTTACTCGTTCCACCCGGGTCTCCTTTCTCCCCGGCTCTGCCTTTATGCCAATTTTGCGTTCTGCCCGCTGGCCGCGCCTAGCCATCGGATCCTTCGCTATACTTTGAACACGAAATGCAACCACCGTACCTTCACGGGTGACACGATGATCGACTGTATGGACCCGACATGTGGGAACAGCAGAGCACATCCTGCCAATTGCCCTAACTGCACTCACAATAGGTGGTACAAGTGAGTGGCATCCTCGTACCGTTTTCTCACCCCCCATTCAACCCTACTCCGTTGCCACTTTACGGCATTGACTTGCATTTTGAATACACCCCTCGTACTACCCCGCTTTGCCATTTTCTTTACTTCCCCGGCTATGGGTTACTCACTGCTCCTCTCCAGCAAGCCGGAAAGGATCGTCACTCAAGAGCTCGATCAGAAGTGCGAAAACTGCACACCATGAGCAGTGCACATGGCCGGAGGATCACTCAACATTCAGCGGCGCACAGACCTGATGTCGACCCTCCACAGTTAGGAGAACGAAATATCTGATTATGGCGCAAGTTACATTCTGCCTTAAGAACTTGACTAGTGATTTCCTTGATTGATTATCTGCTGTACTCACGAGCCTACCCCATGTATGATTATGAAACCCCTGTCCCCTGAATGAATCCTAAAGGTTTTATTTATACGTCGATATCTACCTCTCCAAGGGTCTGATCGTCTAAACCGCCAGTCCCGTACTCATCGTCGACTTCCATTGGGGCGGGTATGGCGTTCCTTTCGTCCAACCCGCCTGCCTTTTCCTGCTCGAGTTCAAGGGCACGCTGCTTAGCCTGAGCCTTTTCAATGTCCGCCAACGTCCAAAGAGAAATGCCCGTCTGATCCTCTGCATGCGTCTGCGATATCTGTCGCATAAACAACTTAGACAGGACGAGCGCCATATCTGTCGATAGATTAGCGGCCGTCTCAGTGATGTACTGATTAATCCAACGCGGAAGTTTTGCACGTTTATCCGCTCGAGCAAAACGCTAACGACAAAGGTCGGTAAAGCGCGGTTACAAGAGATAAGTAGTTCGCAACACGGCCCTAAGCGACCATAAGGCTTACCTTATCAGCAAACACCATCAATCCCCAGTCGGTTTTCCCTCGCAGAACACGGCCGACACACTGCGCAGCATTCCGCATGGCATCGAAACCGAGGAACTCTGATTCCCGTATCCGGTACGCGTCACGCAGATACTCCAGCCGAGCCTGTTTGACCAAGTCGATTAGTTCCTTTACTTTCAATCAATGGTGCGGGAAATCGGACCTTCAGTATCCGGCTCTCGGTGTATTGGTAGGGGACACTGGACTCCGTGCGTAATTGAGTACCCTCCTTCATAACGTGCGAGTATTTTCCGACTCACCCAAACATAATGACAGCTCGACCGTAGTTGTGGTCGAAATCGATGCCTTCCGAAACCTTTCCACGGGCCACAGAAAGCAGCACGGCTCCCCGGCCGTTGTTACATGCCTGTGTCGTAAACCTCATTAGTCCACATCCAAATATTGAATGTCGTAAGGGAATTACTCTTCTATAATTTTCTAGAGCTATGCTCGTCTCATTTGCATCTGGCGTTTCCACAAAGATGAGCTTGTGCTTCCACACTTCGTTCAAAATCCCCATGTCATTCCACGCGGCAACTATCGATTCCATGTACAAATAGCTCGGGAAAAAGGCGGCGATGCCATCTGGGACTATTTTACTGTATTCCACAAGAATGGCTCCAAAGTTCCGGACAACGGCGGGATCGTTCCGCACCTCGAAACGAGAACTTATAGCTACTTGGTCGCTGCCGCGTGTTATAACCTGAGAATAGAAAACATCAAGTCAGTCACGTAAAAGGAACGGTGGAATGGGTATAGAGTGCACAGTGGAGCGAAGGGAAGCAGCATTAAAATATGCATGACACTCACAAGAGGTAGGAACGAGTTACGGGTTAGAGTCATCGCATATGTCTCCTGGACTACAGGAGTAAATTGTAGCATTTTTGGATACATGTCGAGAGGCGAGATCGTCCCAGAAGTGATGACAACACTACTAAATCGCTCAAATACCGGAGCGATGGCTAAAGATGGATCCAAACAGCTGGTAATGCGCCAAAAACCGGTAAGTCACAGTAGTATGAAGATTGCCGAAACGATAAACGTACGTAAAATGAAATATAGGATTGGGAACAGTTGCATTGTCCGTCTCAAACGGCTCCAAAATAAGCAAAAAACCTGATGCATGCCTTTAATGAAAGTATTTCATGGAACTCAAGAATCCTAACCTTTTTCGTAAGTGGCTACTAAAGTGGCGAAGTTCGCGACCTTCTGTAGAGAAGCATATTCATCAAGATTAGTCAGCTCCAACGTGCGTACGAGGGATTGAAGACGCTCTGCGCAGAATCTACAGCCAGAAGGTCAAAGACAATAAGCTGGGCGAAAACGATCAGTCGATTGGGTCGTATACCGTAAAGGTCGTCGTTCAATGAAAGTAATGTCTTTCAAATGTTGAAGGAAGGACAACGGAGTCTCCGCAACAACGTGGAGTACACGCATGCGGGTCTTCAAATATTCAACGAAGCGTTTCAAAAACGCGACGAAATGCTCCGCCTTCCTGATGTTCCCGGGAACGGCTTCTTTCAGCAGGTCATCAGGCAAAACTTTGTTTTCACATATCAGTTTCGACTGCGGAGCTCCACTAGGCATTAGAACCCTACCTGGGTTTGCCATGATGGCATCTTCCTGTCGTGCTTCGTCTGCTTCTTGCAAACCTTCCACGAGCTTCGCATATTCGTCTTGCAACCGCGAGGCATCGGTAATCTTGATTCTAAGTATTGTAAAGAGAAGTTACGCGTCAAGGTTGTATCTTCACTTACTCTTCTATCTTGTCGCCGAGCCTCGTTACGCTTCTAGCGGCAGAATCAAGCATGGGTCGAGTTAGGTCAATGCTCAAGGATTCAAGGCAGACGTTATCTGATTACGTCCGGTTTGTTTCTCCATGTTTAGATCATTCGTCGAATGACAGTACCGACATACCAATATTATGGGCTTCATCAAATACTACGATAGCGTCTTTGGATATGTCCTTGGATACCTGTTCCGCGACTTTGGGATCAAGAAGATAGTGGAAAGAATAGATTATGACGTCGACGAAGGCCATCTGGTGACGTATCAGTACTGTGCTTTGGACGAGAAAGCAGTGGTTACCATTCTTCGAACGGTAAAATAAGGGCAAACTCCCTTGTCGCGACCGTACTGCAGAACATCCGCAAGCGTGTGAATTCCTGGTGGAATTAAATTTCCTGGTTCAAACGCCTCCAGTTCCTTTGAGTAAAGAATATTAGAATTTGGCTATGCGCAGATTGAAAAGAAGCAGCTTACGTCGTGAAAAGAACAGGTTGGTACGGATCCTGGGTTGTTCCGTGCTCTCTCCATCGTGAATGCAGACGTTAAGTCCCTGCATCGGGCATCCACCACCACACCCTTCCTTTCCTTGGATACCTACGAAACATGAACGTGCTGTCAGTTAGGAACAAGATACAAGACACGGGAGTCGAGTTCCCAAGATTCTTCAAACCTCGGGATGAAGGCATAGGTTTTTCCGACTTGTAAGTCCCACACCGGTGAATGCCCGCTCTTTTTGCCTTTCCTCTTCTGTTTCTGCATGCTGTATTCGATACTCCATAAGGCGTTTCAGCTCCGCCAAAGCCTTCTCAATCTCCGGAACCGTACGGGAACAGTAGATTAACTTCCGTTTTGTCGGGTAGAACTGAGGGATACGTAAGTAAAAACACAAGAGAACTAGGACAATTCTACATACCTGCTGGTAAGACACAATCAACGACAAAAGTGATACCGTCTTTCCCGTACCCGACGGCATCTCAAGAACGCAGTGCCCCTAAATTCAGCTCGCTGTTAGAAGTAAGTTATCAATTATTTCACTAGAGTGCATACGGAAGCGTCCAGCGTGCGCTTGAGATCGCACATGTACTGGTATTGCTCTGCAAGGCAAGCATCACTGTTCAGACAAATTTGTTGCTCTCTCATGCATTGTATCAAGAAAAACCTGGATATATTCGGTCATAAGGGAAAATTATCTTCAAAAAGGGACATCAGACCGTTACTGCTTATGCAACACATTAAAGTAACTCTTACCGGAAGGTCGTCAATGAGGAACTTCATCGGAGTGGGATGGAGAGGTAGCGATCACGTGCCCGCCATTCACACCTGAATACACATAGGGCATTTCACAATTCCTTACCTTAAAAAATAACTTACATAATGATAAACATTATTTGAAATTTATTTTCCCATTTTTGACTGGTAAAATTATAAACAAAATTTAAAACTTTCTTTATACAAAAACTAGAAATTATTGTTAACATTTCTTCATTTGTGAAATCTTGAAATAAATAGAGATAATAATCTAAAACATAATTTTAAAACAAAATTAGAAATTTTCTTTTGAATTTTTTGTTATTCCTCTGTACTAGTAATGAAG